TATATACTAGACTAAAATAAAATATGTATTGTGATACTTGTGTACAACAAAATGTTGTACATTATTCAGTGTTATTGATTGATGTAATAATTTATACCAATTAAAACTGGCTATAAAATTATATTTTACTGGTAAGTAGATATATAGATATACGAATATCGTTTTCAAGTTTAAAGTTTCAACTCTTGAATGTTTCAACTAATATTCGGTATATTATACTTTTTAATTCAATTATAATATATTTATATGTAGGTATGAGGTATTCGCATCGACTTAATGAAATCGTTATTTTCATGAAGCGGATGTCCACAGTAATTTACTCATTTTGTACTCGATATTGATTACCTACTACTACTTAATATTCATGAAGTGGATTGATTTCTATTTTTTGATATGGCGAACACACGTTAAATGTACATTTAATACTAACTATAAAATGTATTGTAATACTATATAGGTGCAAATAAACAAATATAATTTGTATGTTGGATTGTATTTATAATTTTGTACATTTAATACAATAATAATGTTCTAATGTATAAGTTTTTTCAATTTTTAAAATAATGATTGAAACTTAGCTGAATTCGATGTACTGCACTATAGACTTTGACAACGGATCGTTTATTTAATGAGACAATTATTGTGAAAAATTATCATAACACAACTATACGAAACGTAGAGTAATAATTATTATATTTTGAAAAGTACCTACCTATATCATTATTATCAAATAATAATAGATGCTGATAAGACTCTACATATTGACTTATTGGTACCTAGTGGATGGCGAATGACATCGAATTATAGCGCTGTCACTGCAGGTCAATCTCCTATAAATGTTTGATATGCCTATATCAATATAATATCTAAAAGCCAAAATACGATTTGCAGATAATTGACTGATTGCAATTTGACAGTAAATAAAATATGTTGTTTCAACTATAGGTACATATATAAACTAATAAACCAACATCATCACTTTCAAAATCGTCTACTAAGCCAATTTAACTCTTGGGCAATTTTTTTACCATTTTAACTGTCTGTATTATGTATTGTTGATTTATTAAGTTAATTCAGCTACACACTAGTGTTATCTTAATTGCCCAAAGCAAATAACATTTAGTTGTTCAGCAATTTCTGTAAAAGTTAATTAACTACAGATTTCTATACTCATGTGTATATTTATTGTGTGTATAGGTTATTATTTTACTCTCTATTCACAACTAATGTTGTTAATATTTGAAAAATTACTTATTGTGATATTTTAACTGTTATAATTTATACTTTATAGTAATTTGACACTTATTGCCACCTAAATGTTGATAATGCGTTCTTTACGTAGGTATCAACACATGGGCATATCATAGAAACTTAAAATATTGAAAAAAATGTATAATAACAAATTATAAAAAATAATAAAAATAAAAAATACACTAAAATCAGTTAATATACCTACTACCTATCAGTATCTAAAACACTTTTGATCCTTGCATGAGTTGTTACATTTTATAACATCAGAAAAAAATGTCATTCCATTAAAATACCAGTCATAATAATGATCAATGGACAGGTAAAAAAGGATTCCCAATAACATGGTTCATCCTAAAAACCATTGACCTTAGCAAAATTTCAAAAAATGAAATCAAATGTGGTTATTTTAATGAAAAACACAGGACTTTAGAATTTTTGTGTTACCTAGTGGATACTGAATAAATTAAAGGCTTTTCAAATGCCACTTTAAATGTCGTTCTTTATCAGTGACGTGTATTCGTTTTGACACATATTTAAATCGATTTGTGCGATGAAGTCGGTGAACGCTTTTACGCTTGTCAAATTATTATTATCATGTCCCTGCAGAGCATGAAAGCAATATGATAATAATATTATCAACAACACATTTTCGATATTATGCGATGACGTTTTGTATAGTATGTTTACAATTAATCTGTAAAATCTCGATAGTACACATGTCTCTATTGAATATTATACTAAAGAGTTTTAAAAATATTTTGAAATGTTTAAAATTGGAAAACAAAATAAAAAACCAGGGTAGTCATTGAGTAGCTAGATTTGAATTCAATCGTCGCTTGCGATAAATGATTCTAAGTGCGGAGTCTGTCGTATTTATTAATATTTTTTATTCAATAGATTGAACTATTTTTTTTCCAATAACTATAGTCACATGGGTCACATGTATATAATATAAATTCATATAATATTACTAGCTGCTATTAAATAATAAGTCAATACCAATGTACTTCACAATGGTTTTAATAGGTTTAAACTATTTAAAGTCTCTACAATCAAGAAAAATATTTTTAATTTACAACAAAATAGATAAAATTGGATTTTTTTTTTTTGAATATTCATTTTGTCATAATTTGAAATTCTCAAACGCTTATAAAAAAACTTTGCCATTATACTTTCGAAATTTTTAATACGCGTTATGTATAATTCATGCGAAAGTTCGTGCTAAATTTTTGAGTCTTAGATATTACAATTATAAACCTTATGAATTTTAAACAATAAAATATACATAATTAACGATCTAGAGACGACTTCGTCAAAATTCTAACTCCCAACGCTCATAAAAATGAATGCGGATAATATGATCAAATTTGTTTTTGAATTACAGTAATAAAAACTTATAAGGATATTGCATTAAATTGTCAAGATTTTTGGCAGAACATGAAATATGATCATTTGAAAAAAATACTAAAAAAAAAAAACGAAAATGGCATTCATTCGAAATACATCAGTGCGTATCAGAAAGGGGCCGTCAACTAAATGATATATGATTTTATGTGATATCGATTTTAGCGAGGTTACTCGGGTTAGCGTATGGTAACATAGGTAATAAGCCGGGGCCTCCAGGCACCTATATAGGCTATGTGCCTATAATATGTGTAGTAATCATTAAATGTTGTTCACGTTTAATTACCTGATTAAATATACGATTCAGCTTTTATTAGTAGAGCTCGGATTTGTATATTTTTTTGGTCAGTCATACTGTGTATGCTAAGTAAGCACAAAATATGTTTCATGAATTTGATATTAAAAATAAAAAATTTATTTAGACCACATTTCAACACCTTACAGTTTTTAAATTATATTTTACAATTTTAAGATCATATTTGGTCTTTTTATGCCGTTTCAAAAGTAAAAACTTTATATACAATTTTAAGAAAATAATAATATAGACTTAATAAAATAATACAATTTTAATGAAGATGCCAATTTTGCAGAAGCATCAAAGATAAATATAAAGTCTACCTACACAATTATACTATTTTATATTATATTATTTATTTTCTGAATTTTACTATATTTTTTTAGAAATATTGTAATTTGTTAAACACTAATAAACTAATAAACAAAAAATTGCTATAATATCTTTTATATTAAATTAAAACTATAACCAAAATCATAGTTAATGTTTTGAACGTGGTTTTGTCTGGTTTTGACGAGCATAATTTTACCACATATCTATATATATATTGGCCATTTTCGGTGCATAAATGCATGAACATATTTCGTGATTTCTTAGTTGATATAAATCCTAAAATCCGAGCCGTAGACTTATAAGTTTTGTTTGTTTATTTATTTTTTTTTAGTTCTTCATAAATATTGTTATTGGTTATTATGTTTTACAATTTAGGCTATTGGGAATTTAAATCGGCGTCATTAATTTAGTATTAAAAACGGGGAAGAAGCAAAAAGAGGAGCACGTGGGCGTCGTCGGCCGTAAAATGTTGGCTTCATTGGGTGAAAATACTTCTTTTATCTAATCCGATTCGTTGTCTTGGCACGGCGTCAAGCATTCCGGTATAGCCCCGGCACACTAGAGGTTTGCGTCACGAAGGTTGAAAAAAATAAAAACAGAAAAAAACCGAATGGAACTCTCTCGTGTGAGCCTAATTATATATTTTAATCTGACAAATGGTTTTTAAAATATCGTGCTTAACAGGTTATAACGGGCCGCGAGTACGTATATAATTAATTTTTTATATATATTTTTTACAAAAAGCTTGGATGTTGTTGAATTTCCAATTTTTTTTAGATACCACTCTCCAATTAGTTATAATTAGGTTAATTTGCAATATTCGAAAATTTTTAGTGCGATCAATCAAGTTATTGTCTCGATAATACAATTTTACAAAGTTTTTTGTCGTAATTGTACAGTTTTACCAAAATACAAAATTTGTATGCAAGTTTTTATAACGTTTATTATATTTTGTAAAAAAAAAACACCAATACTTCTACACCCAAGTATTGGTGTTTTTTTGTGGGTGTAGTATTGTAGTTGTTTTTAGTTTAATTTTTTTAATATGTTTATTTTTATTATAAATTTAATTTTAATACCATAATTTAAACAGTAAAATATAAGAGATTATCCATTTAACTACAAACATAAATAGTTATTCACTTATTTCAGCTGTCTTCAGTATTGAATCAAATAACAATGCCATATTATATTCATATAATTGAACCTTCGCTAATAATATAATGTCATACAACGTAAACTGTGACGGATTCAGACGATTCAGTGTTTGCAGTTTGAAGCAAAAATTCAATTATACAAACATATAATATTACATGCCCTATTATATTATATTATATTATATTATTATATTATTAGGTACTGACATTATAATAATTCATTGATATTTTTAGTCTCGAGGAATTTTGTAATTCACTGTATATTTAAATTTTTTAAGAGTTACATTATGATAAATATTTTCCAACAAATTTTGAAGCATAATTGATGCGTGTATAGGCCCGTGCATAAGTGCATTACTACAGTAGGTTTAGCTAATGTTATTAATTATACTTATGGTCTACGGGCACATACATTGACTTTATCTTATACTTGTTTAATAAAGACTATTTGATTGCATTTATATGAAGCATTTGATATTATATACATGTGCGTACAATATATTATGATTTTCATCAGCTGGTTTTTATAGTGCATAAAATATTTAAATCCAAGCTTTAAGTTAATGCTTATTCAGGTGATTATCACTCACGTCATTGCCGACCTCAGGCATTTGTCCGACCGAATGGATTTTGGCGTTGACAAACGTCGCCCAGACACCGGTCGAACCCTTCCACTGGAAGCACACGTGGTGCCACTGTCCTCTGGTCAGTTGCATACTCTCCGAGGCCACCAGACGGTTTTTGATCGTCACTCTCATAGTTTCTTTGGGATGAACGTGCATCCGCCACAACACCAACGACTCTTTTTTGTTCCCTGAAGGTAGAAAATTAGACGTAGGTAGGTAGTAATTACACGGTTGACGATATTGACCACATCCAGAATCAAATTAAAAAATATCGAAATCCATCTTATAGTAGTATTTCAGGTGTCGGGATACTAAATTTGATTGGGTTTGGGACTTTTAAAGGGTAAATTACTATAATATGTATGATTTACCTGTTAGACGCATTATGGTTTGCGTGTGTGTAAAATTCAACATTTTTATCCACGTGCAGATCGTAAACTCCGTAAGATTGAATGATAAATCTTCAAATTGCAAGTACTGAAATAATAATACCACAAATATTAATGCATATTAATATATACATTTATGTCGATTGTTTTCATTGAAAATGTTCGTGTGTTATAAGATAACACGATTATAATTATTACAATATGTATGATACATTATTACTTATTATGCACAATATTGCACATGCAGTTAGATGTAAGTAAATGCATTTTAAACGAATGACATTAATAGTTAGTAAAAATATTTTATTGTTCCAAACACTTCTCGTGACAATCATCGAGCACAATGTCCAGTTTAATATGACAAATGTATATAGTAAATAATAGTACTATATTGCACAACCTTATCTATAGGTAGGTACCCATTTAGTTATACTTAACGAATCGATTCATTTTCTGGATTTATGTTTCAGTTACGTATGTGTTCACTCTTTACTTGTTTTCGTTGTGGTAATCGCCATGTTGTTTGTAAAATGAAAATACCTTGGCGTATCTATATTTTGCCCCATATCAAATTGAATGTTACAACAAAACATAAGACTTCAAAATCACAACAACTAGAGTGGTGCAAAAATTAACTACCTATTTACAATACGAAATGTAGAGCATAATAAAGGGTGTTCATGCATTAGACGGAAGGTCAAAATTTGGAATATTAATAACATAACAATATTATAATATCATCAAATATACGTAAGGTAATAAAATATAAATAAATTATAACTCAAATTTAATAATATTTAATCATTTAACTTCAACTTGATTTTTTTTATAATAATTGATAGTTATTTTTATACATTAAAAGCCTTTAATGCTCGGATGTATTAGCGTGTGAAAATCGTTTTGTTTTTTAATATTAATTTACCGATGGTAAAAATAACTCGCATGTGGATTCAGACGATTCAGTAAACATTATAATACTAACACTTGACATATAATATTGTACTAAAAGACGTTTGACGTTATAAATAAATGTTTGTAAATATATTTTGTTTATAAATATAGGTCGGTTTATATAAAAAAAAAAAACTAAAAATCATGTACTACAAATATTTAAACATTTTTATTATAAACTAGGTGGCTTCGCACCCTGCAGCTCGTTCCACTCACCATCTGTAGCCTAAACATTTCCAATGCCTTCGGAAGTTTTATCTAAAATGCTTTTTATGTTACAGCAGTCATAACAGTAATTATAAATTATTATAATTTTTTCACCTTACCTAGCAATAATTATAGTTTTTTTTAATTATTTAAGATGTACATCGTATACCTTTAATATGTGTTGGACATTATTGTACAACTTTGTTTACCAGAAAATCTTATCATAAATATTGTTTGTACGAGTACTTCATAAGTTATAATTCCAACAATTCACGAAAAATGAAATTATAAGTTTAATATATTTTATATTAACTATAAATTAATACTCCTCTTTCAAACATGCAATGATTTCTACAGAATGTAAATACCGTATGAATTTAATAATACGACTCTTCTTGGCCAAGAAAAGAGGGGCTTTTGTAAAGATTTGAATCCGAGCCCATAATTTGAGGTTACGGTGATTTAGAGCGTAATAAAAATTCATATAAAAATTTCACATGGAACGATATGCAAAGAGCTGCAATTGCACTTGCTGATTGAGCGCCAAGCTACAAAATAATTTAGCATTTCAAAGTCGACAATAATTTTACAAGAAAACAAAATGCCATAAACTTAAATAATTATTATGTTAGCATATCTGGGTGGCATGGAGGTGTTCTATGTGTTAATTATACCATCCAAAAACAGTTTGATTAATTCATTGTATTTTTAACAAATATATTTCACCTAAAAATATGAGTCGACATTTTTTTATTTTTATTTTCATTCAAATTATATTGTATTTTTGTGATCGATTTGTTCGTTTTAAATCAATTTACTTAAATTTACTTTCAGGCCGATATATTTGGGTTATCGAAATATTCAGTAAATAAAGGCCATCGTTATATATTTTTTAAATGTTTGATTTCTCGCCAAGTTATACATTAGGTCTTGGGACGTAAACAATAAATATAATATACAAAACATATGTTACTCTTCAATATTATACAAAGAAATGTACAAATGCACAACACCTATTCGAAACACAAAAGTTATACCTACCTATCGTATTTTCCTGGATTTAATTCTCAAGTGATTTCCAATTCGTATCGAAAGCTCTCGTTTAATTTTCTAAATAATATATAGACTTTGTCGAGTAAGAATCTGCCGTATAAGGAACTCAAAAATTGAGAACAGGTATAAATAACCGTAAATATGAGTTCATTTTCAATGTTTGAATCTACTCTGTAGTTGAGAAAAAAAGTAACTATTTTAAATGATGTAATAATAATGTGATTACGATATTATAATGCAATAATTTGTTGTGGCGTAATAGAATCTATATTATACTATACTATATTATTATTATATTTGACCAAAAGTACTCATAATATTTTTAAACCTTTTGAGCGTTACAAAATAACCGTGTATACTGTTTGAGAATTTAAAGTAAAGTAAAAAATGAATAAGAAAAATCGTATAGAACTAAGGCAAAAAATATCGATAAGAAAAAAAATAATATTATTATAAAGTCAACCGGACAACCGGCTGACCGAAAGAATCGTCTTCCGCAAGCTCACTTGGATCGTGTTGTTGGGTGTCATCTCGATCTTGGACGCTGTCAGGTCCAACAGACGATCAGACGAGACGGTGGCGATGACAAAGCACACGAGTATGAACTTGAGCACCACAATGACATCTCTTGGCTGGCCAATTCTTATATTATTATGATATGACATTTCTTCGGCTCTCGCGGACCGGTCGTTCGCGTTGTCGGAGCACACACTATCCCGAAGTCCGGTCGGCAGCGGCCTCGACGGGCACACGTCCCGCACCCGTCGCCGTTATGAAACGCATAATATAATGCACATTATATTATTATTAAATAATAACGTTTTCGGTATTGGCATTATAACAGTCACTATCACTGTTATTGTTATTACGATTTCCTCACCGCCGCGCCAACCTGTACCACCTACCAATACCGCTGCCGCGGTGGCGTATCTGATCGCCAGTGTCCCGACAGAAGTGAAAGCGTTCGCGTGAGTTTTGATTTTTTTTTTTTCATATTTTTTTTCTCTCCTCTGCTCGTAAGCATAATAATATTATAGGTGCGTATATTATAATATATTGTCACCGCGACCGAACGTCGTGTACAGTACGTATAGTATATTGTACATAGGTAGATACGCCCAGCGGTGCGCCTTTCTCGGAGGATTATTATAATACACTAGTTACCAGCTATACACTATAATACATGACGTTATTATTACTATTATTATTATTATTATTATTATTATCATCGCCGTCGTACGAGGCGTGCGTGCCACATGTTTGGTGTATAGTCGTGTAGGTATACTATATTGCGGGTTGCAGCCGTTTTCTTATTTTTTCCGAAAAACGAAATCCGCAAACCGCATAGCGTATTGTTCGGGAGGTTTTTTTTTTAAACAGTTACTATATTATTGTCACTAATTGTATAGCTATTATCGTGTTGACTGTAGAACGGTTTTCCGCGTGGTGTTGTACACCGTAGACCATGCTAAAATTGTTGTGGACATAATATGTTATTAAATGTATTATGCATAATATAATGAATAACACAATATATACCTACGTCCTACATGCACACTGACTATACCGTCGTACGCATAGGTACAGTAGGCTTCAGTGGTAGCCGGTAGGACTATATATGACGATTGGCAGCACAGAGATACAAAAAATAAAAGTTAACGTTATTTTTGGCGGTAATTAAGGTGTATTTACAATAGAAACTCGAATAGCCGGTCGTTACCATTTTCCTTAAAAAAAAATGTTAAAAAAAGCTTTGCCATTATCCTCCACTAAGAAGTTACGAATATAATAAATACATATTTAAGTCTTATTATAAAAACCAAAAAAACCTATAACTAATATACACATCGTGGATCCGTGACCAGAATTGAGACAGACACCGATAAAACGTATAGTGTGATCCTGGCCTTACTTCCCTTTATATTACGGTACCTACACAATACTAAAACACTGGAGCCGGCTAAAATATCGGCTAAAAATGTTAATATATTTGGAGGAAAATGGACATAATTTTAGTTCAAAAAAATGTTTAGAGGAAAATAGAAACTAACCTTTTTTGTATAGGAAAATGGACAGCTGAGGAAAACGGTACCTATCTAAGTTTTGGAGGAAGAAAACCAGTCAAGTTCACTTGAGCCTTCGTTTATATTATAATTTGCATTTATTAGGTATTGGAACAACATGTTAATTTCTCACGACTCATACATAATAGTTTTGTAACAGCTGCTCTGTAATAAAATCTAACTACAGCATTTAATCTATATATATCTAGTGTACCTACTACTTATATATTAAATATATATATATATATATCATATATTACAGGGTGCACACCGTAAAAGTAAGATATTTAAATGAACTCTTTAGTCTACACTCTACAATATTAAAACAGTATATTTATACACTTACCCTTTAACTAGTATGTGTAATGAATTTTAATTTTTTCCAGAACACGCGAAACTACTAAACCTCGAGGTTTTTTGAGTGGTACTCAGTATTTAGTAGATTGTTGGAGTATTATACACGAACTGTTTCCAGAAGATTATAGTATAATTTTAATAATGTAAAAACATTGAAATGTTTACCGCATAATATAATTTGTATACATAACCAGCTATACAGTTGAAACTCAGAACCTTTGATGACCTTTTCAAAGATATTGGTGTGCTCAGTGCACCATTGTATTGATAAAATGGTTAAAGGTACATATGATCGATATATTCCGTTTTTTTTTGTCCGGTAGATTTCCTATTTACGGTCATTTCATTCACTCGTTTAGTTTTATATGTATGTATAATGATAATGTATGTACCTATAGGCTATAATGTATATAAGTATGTATGTATGTATATATATAAGGCACTAGTGATAGTTGAAGGTCTTCGGATAAAATTTAAAAAAAAAAATAAAAAAATCAATGTAAGCTAAATAGTATTAATTTAATTATGAAGTGTCGTTCGAAGTTGTAGTCCGTTGTGGTGTTCGTCATGGATAACAGTGATTCGGAAAAAAAAAAGAAAATTGTGAGTAAAACAGAAATAAAAATTATTGCGCTCAACTTTTCCATATCATAGAATCATTGATTACATTTTACATAAATAATAACATTTATGATAAACTTGCGATTAGGAATTACGAACGGCGAATGGTATAGGCAAATTTATATACACATTCATTTCAATTTTCTACACCGTATTTCGAAAAGTTAATATATTTTGTTAACTTCATACACATATGCTGACAATTAATCAAAACTGTTTTGACTTACATAAACATTGCAGTTTGAGTTGGTTTTTTTTATAGCTCGTTGTAAAGTTGTAAATCATATATTATGTTATATAAACTATAATAGTTTGTTATTATGTTCTTTTATGTTTATACCAAAAGCTACCTTTTTGTTTTTATTTATTTTTTTAAATTTTATTATGTAAATAGAGTAAGTAAATTATATAGAGTTTACTCCTATAATAGATGTAGTCTTGAATTTGTTGAGGTATAAATCAATTTATTGGTTAGTATTAATTAAGAATCTATCGTTCTCTATGTAATATTTACTCTATATGTACTATCTACTATCGTACGGTAGTCTTTTTTCATTCATCATAAAAAATCTTTGTATTTTATGAAATATTATGTTCATGTTGTTTACTAATTAAAATAACTCTTGAAAAAAAAAAACGATATTTTATTTAGAATTTATTTATGGTGAATTAAGAGTCGATTTTGAATACAAATAAGTGTACATCTTATATTGCAATATACACACAATATTGTTAATGGTGTAAAAAAAAACATGTTTTTTTTAAACATTTAAATTTGTTTAGCGACTTGTTTTTGGCCTAAATTCCATTGAATTTGGTGTTGCGTGCCAAAAAACTACATGTGAATAGCCCATTCTCCCTTCCATTTAAATTAAATCTGTACAATTATTATTAATGAAGACATTACTGTTTTAATTAACATGGTCTTCATCGATTTATAGTATTTTTTATGGTTTGTAATTAATCGCAACCACAATAAAGTTATTAGTGTTCAATTAAACATAGGTATTTATTTTAGGAAAAATGTTTGGATATATTATAGGAACAGTATTTAAGAGTTCCATATAGCATTTTATTACAATACAAATTGGGTAAAATATTTTAAATAATATACCTATCTTTTTTTATGAAATATGTCTTTTGTGAAAAACTATGGGAACTAAATAATTTTCAGGATTCCGATTGTAATAATTAATAAACAATAATAAAAGATAATTACAGAACTTGATATTTAATTTAGGATTTTAGAAGATTAATTTATAAATTATAACCGGTTTTCTATATAGCTTTAAAATTTAAGTTTGCCCAGAATTTTAATAGCAGTAATGATTAAATGTCTTGATATTTTTATTACAATTTTATTTGTATCAAATTTAAAGATAGATTTATGGTAAAATTAATGCATTTCATAATGATATAATATTTTATAAACTGACTTATAATAATGATAACCATATGGGTATAAAGTTTTTTTTCCGTAAGAACCATTATTCACCAATATTTTTTTCCCATGAAAGTTCTGGTTTGTTGAAAAATGACACAGTTTTTTTTGTAGAATGTGATATATATAGCCATTTCAATTGAATACGATATTATGACGCACTTGCCAGTGACGTGACGTGCTCACACGAGTATCATACATATATGCCTCGATACACATACATTTTTGGCTTTTGCATTTTAAATTGAAAACATTTCCACAAGTATTTTTACTAGCCGAAAAGAAATGAGATTTATAGTTTATGATATTATTATTATATAATGTTTTATGAAATTGATTTTTAGACTATTTCCACAGAAATGTGTAATATCATGTTATCGTAATTTGTATAGAATGAAGTGGACTTGGACGAAGTCTTGCCAATCATCGGAGAGTTTGGACGATATCAGAAGTTATTGTTGTGGCTCGTCTGTTTGCCCGCATGTATACCATGTGGTTTCGGAGCGTTCAACCAACTGTTCATGTCCGACGTCCCCCCACATTGGTGTTCAGAACCACAACTGTATAATTTCACTGCGGAACAGAGAAAACGAATTTATGAACAAGTAAATCCAATAGTTTAAATCAGGCCCCGAACATACGTGGACACAATATTATTATAATTATTATTGTTAAAATGTTCAATTAAATATAGCTATAATTTTTCATATAGAATTCCTCATTAGGTTATTTAGATACTAGGTACATACATAATATCATGTTGTCAATATTCATAAGTGAATGACTATGGATATTGTGGATTCGATAATACGAATGGATAGTATAAAACGAATATAGTCGAAGTATTTTATTTAGATTATTAATGGATTTTTAATTTTTAAAACCGTAATATTATGCAAAATACGTAAACACTGTACAACATGTTCATTTTTGTAGTGTACTGTACATCTTGTGTAAGTTCTTAAATTTTTTTTTTATTGAAAATAAATAAATAAATATATGAGAACATTCACAATTTCTACAATTAAATACAAATATACAAATGGGAAAAATTTGGTGTGGGATTACAATAAAACTGGATGACGCGATGGAAGTGTCCAGTGACACGAACAATAACATAGAAAAGAATTATAAAACTAATTCTTATACGATTAAACTGTATGTTTTTTTTTTTTATTGATCGAAATACAACTTTGGCTTCATAATATGCCATTAGTTGTTTTTTATAATTAACACTATCATCATATTATTATTTTTATTCAGTTTGTTTATTGTGTTTTAATATTTGTATTATTAAATGTAGATATTATAATGATTCAAAATAACATGATCACAATTACCTATGTTACGTTATCATTCAGTGAAAACACATAATCACATCGTTTGATCACAGCTTGAGCCTCCAACGTGAATGACTATAAAACGACTATGCTTTTTCTTAATATTTTAATTGCTAACCAAATCTATTGTCTGATTTTAGAAAGAAGTATAATTTCTTTGGGTTTCTTAATATTTGTCCGGTAATCATTTTTGTGTATTCGAAGTCCATCGCATTATATGACGATCACAATGACGAAATATTGAGTAGTTCTTTAATTATAAATTTTTAGTTTAACGATAATCTAATAATAAGTCGATTGGGCAAACTCGTGAGCCTGGAGGATATGAGTGCAATGTATTGTGTTCTGTGTAGTATTTTTCGTGTTCTGAGGGAACAATAGGTGTACAGCAATGGTTTTGTTTATCTCGTTGTAAACTTGCACATACTATCATTGTTACAGAGTAACGTCACTCAAGTGAAAAATGGATGCATGCGGTATGCAGTTAATTGGACAGAAGTCTTGGTGTCTTCAGAAGTCCACGAAAATTTGGAACAGTTGGTGAACGAAAGTTGGCCGTTGGAAAAATGTAACAGTTGGGAATACGATACGAGTTTCGTACAGTCTTCAATTGTGATCGATGTGAGTAACCGAAAAATAAGCTTAGTATTTTTAAAGTTAGGTAATAATTTAGGTAGGTAGGTACCGAAGAGAATTTTATCGGGGGGGGGGAGGGGCAAAGTTAGTACCTAGTTAGGTCAAATATTAAATTTTATCCGGGACAACTTGTTTTTGTTATCTTGTATTGGAGCCATTTCATCGTGAGGCTGTTAAAATGTTTTTATTGTAGGTATGAATAAATAACAAATTTAAATTGCAAATTGTAATACTAATAATTATGAAAAAAATACTAGCCATCATTCCCTATTATTATTTAGGTACAAGAAAGGATAGACAAGTGGGTCACTATAATGCAAGGGTCGCTATCGACTGGTCAATCTTCAGAGGAATATTGGGCGATCGTATTAAAAATTAATTATACCACATCATAACATTTAAGACTTGAACACACTTTTATGTTTTATATACAAAGTAAATTATTTATTATCGAAGAAAAACCCCAATTTTCCTATGGAGAAATAATAAAAGAATATTATTATGCTGCTTATAATAAAATAAATAATATACCTAAACAAATAGTGGTTGATCACCAAGTATTTCAAATTTTTAATGTGGTCCACTTGTCGGAAAAGGTTGATGATCCACATTCATTACATGTTGAATTATAATGATTTTGATACATTTTGTTAACATTTTAACTTCAAATGCTTATAAAAAAATCGTACCAAAGTATTTACGATATTTTTCAATTGGTATATGAACAGTTTATGGTGGAACTTCGTATTCAATTTTCAAACGTTTTTACCAAGCAAAACAATTTTTACCTAATTTTATAGAAAAAGAAAACCTAATATAAATTTTGAAGTAAATAACAATGAATAGTTGAAAAAGAGTCAATTTATTTTGATAATCTTATCTTGTACGGAATATAATCATATAAACATTTTTTGGTAAAAGTATCTAATATTTAAGGCCATTCGTTTTTGATTTACTAAAAAAAAAAACGTATCTATAACTATAGTTTTGCATAAAAATTCCAGTTTTTTTCTTAATTTTTCTTTTGTCCGCTAGCCATTAGATAATGCTTGTATATAATAAATTAATTTTCATAGGAGACATCAAGAAAATTACGTTTGGTTGGCTAGTACCTACTTGCTAATATTATAATTTATAATCCCTCTCACCCTCAACATTTAACCAACATCACTATCAAAATTTTTTTAAAAAATTGACCATTATATGTACGGTTATTCAGTTTTTATAAATTTCTAACTGAAATATTAATAAAACAAATGATTATGCCCCCCCCCCCCCCTACACTAGGTTCACCCCTGGTCAACTGGAACAATTTTAATAACAATAAACATTGAATCAATGAACAAAAAATGGGCCTATTAAAAATTATGATAATTTTATGTAATTTAACAGTAGTTTTGACGATATTAATACAGAATCGAACTCATAATATTACAGGTAGCCATAATAATTTTTATTCAGAGTAGTATTTGAAATTTGTATGGTAAATATTAATAAAATCATTAGGCTAGTCCCAAGAGATTATGACAATTGTGTGGTCATCAAAAAAAATGTGTTCATCGCGAAACCATAATATATTTGAGATTCGAATAATATCTCGGAAATCGTGGTTAAAAAATGCGATTATTAATTAACTCGAAACACAATATTATTATGCACCGCAGTGTACTCACGCACGTATAGATTCGATTGTATAAGACCGCAGTGTTATAATGGGTATTATCATTATTATACATTTTTTTTTTGTGTTCTCGATACATCGTTACATAATAGCATCATATACAGTAGCCCTTTTACCGATTATCAAAGAAGTTCAATTAGTCAATTGAAAACATCGCGGCGGTTTATTAGCTAATTCCGTCCGATGAAATAATTACCCGTATATAGTAATATATAATATCGTATTATATTATTATTGTTATTATTATTGTCGGTGCCATGTGAATGGAAGTAGGAAGAATTAATTGGCTTTCTCGCTCAGAAACGATTACGGTGACAAAGTGCACCGTGAAATTAGTCGGCACGATGCGGCTGTGCCAATCGTACCAATACGCGTTATTACCACTACCTATATAACTATGGGGAGAGCGGATATATGTATAATAATAATAATAATATGATATTACGATGAACGTCAAACCATACGATTACGATAAAAAAAAACTCTAAAAAACCCATTCAACAATGAACGAGTATTATTCTATTATAGTATGTGCGCGTAAATTGTATATCATATTACATCGGTAACAGTTAATGAGTTTTAATTATTGAGAATAAATTATACTGTCGATAATGTACCTGTGTAATCATCCAAATTGATGTATAAATTGTATTATATAAGATACCGTAGTCGAATGTACGGCTGTAAGGATTTCAGAGAAATCCGATTAATCGTTGAGGTTGAAAATAATAATTATGTAAAGCGGAAGTTAAAGTTCACAAAAAAATTTTTCTGATTAGAGATTTTCAACGGAAATAATTATTGTGATTCGTTCATACCCTACAATAAAATTTAAGGCTGCTGGAGCACACCGTATTTTTTGAAGTTTTAGAACAATATAAGCTGAAGATTAGTAAGTTTATGTACTTCCCGATGTCCAATTATTGTTTTAAAAATATGTATGAGCTCATCATCTCCTTTTCTAGGTTACGTAGGAAACAGATTTTTGATTTTTTTATTCAATAAGGCTTAAAAAATATGTTAAAATTTAAAACAATTATGAAAATATTTTTATTTTATACACTTACATTCAGTTTTAAAACATCAATTATTTTTCCTACATGACCTAGTAAAGGGGATGATGAATTCATACATGTTTTTAAAATAATAATCGGACATCGGGAAGTGGGTACATAAACTAATCTTCCGCTTATAGCTATTTTGTACCGATCTTAACTGTTTTTTTACGATAACACGATATTGGCGATAATGGATTACACACACTAAGGTTCATTTATTAATCGCACAATGATAAATATTTGCCAATAACATTTTTGCACAATTTCCTAATTTTTACTACTTAAAATATTCTATGCTCCAACAGCCTTAAGATTGAGTGACCAATATATTTAAACGTCGTTAACGCTTTACTAAAACTAATCATCAAAATCCCCTAAATTTTAATTTTTTTTATTAAATACCTAATCCTCAAAATGATTTTGGTCCATAAATTATTATTTATTAATTAAGTGACACACGAAATGTATGGTTTTAAATTTTAATCCATAGACTATTATTTTATTTTAATACACATGTAAGATTGGATTCTTAGAGATTATTTTGATAAAAAGCCTTATATGAATAATTGCATATTATTACATTAATGTAAAATGCTTGATACATACAATTTTTCACTCTATTGTTTTAAATATTATACACGAAATATTCCTTAAATATAAATTATTGGTTTTACTAATTCACAATTTTTATAGAATTGTTCTCAATGTTTTTACTAAGTTACCATTTGCATTTAATTAATACTTAATAAATAAAAGATATTAAAGATAAGTGTTATATTAAAGATTTCGGTCCATTCAACCTGCCCCGTAAAGTGAAAACACACATCGTTAATTAGATAGCAGAACACTAGAAAATCTTGAACGTAAATCAGTCAATTCTAATGCATTATTTTATGCAACTAAAGTAAATTTATTGTACTGAAAATTTAAAAGAAAAATATTACGAAAATCAACCCATTACGTGCAGAAAATACAATGCAACGGAAAAGAAAGAAGATAAAAACGCTTTTATTTTCGTTCTCCGAATTGGCGGCCAGAGAATTTAATTCGCACGCGTAGGAGATAAATGAATAGGATCGGTTGAAAATAAATTTTATTTAGACTTTTTTTTTGTAATAAAATAACCCGTAATATTCTCTAATGATTTAATCGTGCGGACTATAAACCGAACGCATGGTCCGGAAGTCGAAATGTAATTGACTTTTAGAATTTTAGAGCTGCATATATCGTACCAGGCTTGATTTTCCTCAATATATTGCCCGAAGATATTGTATGCCCTGCAGACATCCGACACTCCGCTGGTCGTGAGAAGAAACAGCTGGTTAGTAGGGGTAATATTTTTTAAGATCGTCAAATAATAATTATTATTAATTGTCACTGTGTACAAATGATAATAATATATTATGGGTGATTATAACTGATTTATTACTATCTTATTTTATACACCTGCTCACACTGTCGTCCGATTTGGGTTTCGGACTGGCAATCCGGTTAAGGCCTGCAAATGATATCACACCTTTACATTATAATACTGGTGCAGCTCATTCGTTTTACGTCACCGACGCCAGTCGAAAACTCGCGGAAAACCGCCGCGCCGAGGTGCGGTTTCAAATGGTAATGACACACGAGTGTTATAGTACTATACATAATAATATATGGGTAGGTACTATAGGTATACAACAACAACAACAATATTATACATATGTGAGTGAGAGGCGTGTAACAACATGGCAGCGTCTGTCTGGGATTCATTGATGGTATAATATTATAATAAATACGTAATCCGGAAGGTTAACGAAGTGAAGCCTATAATAATAATAATAATAATATAATATCGACGGGCCGCACGCTGTAATTTGTTATCCGATAGAGCGCGTAATAACATATTATTTTAATGTCATATGCATGTGTACAATTTGTATTCACTTTGGCCGTACGTACAGGCCAACTCGACGTATAAGTATAGAGCTATATAATAGTATATTATAACATCATCATTATAATATAGTGTATTGCAGCTAGAGAGGTAGGTACGTGCCGGCTGTAAAATATAATATATGTGGAGGAAAAAAATACCGTCGTCGACCGGCCGCACTATTACGCTTTCTCGATTTCCGAGTACCCTACCTATACCTATCATTGCCGTAGTGTACGTCGTCGACGATGAGTAGGTATATCAAATGGACATGTAACCTTACGATTAATGCACATACGATTATTATTTACTTATCCGATATACCTACAGTATAATGTATATAGACTATAATGAGTATATGACATGTAATTTAAAATACGTCATACAACTTTTCGATGGCGTATCTAGAACTTTTTGTAAAGGGGTTGGTGACATAAAATTCGGATGGTGTGATGTACCCACCTTGTATGTTATACAGAATATTAATTATAAAATTATATCAACTTGAATTAAATCATTTTAAATGTTTCAACATAGACATTATAATAATATATTTTCGACAATTAAAAGATCGTGCACACCATCAGTGGAGTGCTCAGGAATTTTCAATGGGAGGGGGTTGTGGATATTTTCTAGGAACATATATATAGGGGAGCTATCGGCGCACTTAAAAACGGGAACGTAAAAAACGGCCAATGGGGGGGTTTAGGATACCCCACCTCCTCCCTTGAGAAGGCCCATGCGTACCATGGACAAATAGGGAACGCCCGCCACTATACTATAATATAATATTAGTACTTTTTTTTAGCGATAATACGAAATAATAAATGTTTATTTTAAAATTGTATTTTAAGTTTTACATCCAATATACGAAAATACTATGCACTAACTTAATTAGGTACTACCGCAGTACCGTATCATTCATTACATTTTTGAATGGTTTTTAGTCATATAATATTATGGAATATTTTACCAAAATCACAAATTCAATCAAAATGATTATAACGCGTTCATCATGACGTCAGCGACTGTGGTGGAAATAACATCGTCTGAACGGTGCATGATCATACAAATATATTTACTACCGTATATTATACTTATACAGGTCTTAATTATTAATATAATGTTTGCAACAGCCAAGTACAAATGAAAGCTTAGGGTTAAAACAACTACGAAGTCGGGTAGGATTAAACTCGATTCTTGGAATTTTATTTTGTTAGTGGTTTTGAGGTTTTGTAAAAACACGTTTGATATGCAAATTTAATTTGTTTTTAACTACGTATAATGAATCGCACATCACAAGCCATAAAGTAAAAACATCAATTATTTATAATTCCACTGAGCTGATTTTAGATTATAGGTAGCTGCATGGTACACAGAATAATTCAAATGTACATTAATTAAAATATAATAATTTGTCGTTTGAAAATTTCCCGGAAAACCACTTAAACTTTCAAACATTTCAATATCCAAATCTAACACTGTTTAATAATGGTGCTGAGAGAATACTCATAGAAATATTCATAACACCAGTACAACGTGAAAATGTAAAATTAATCTTTTGGCCTGAAAAGTAAAATAAATTTATAATATATACCTCATATATTATAATTTGTTGAAATATACACGTAGAGGGTAGATAAGAAAACATTTCCACTGGCACATACAGAGTTATAGTACTCTGAATAAAAACAAATAATAACATAAATTAAAAACAGAACTATTTATCATAAATTATAATCAATTTAATATTATTATACCGCTGAAGAAAGTAGTATGTAATATAAAATTATGTTTGAAAAGTTACAAAATAATATAATACGTATTCAAGGCGTACAAAGCAGGCAATTTACTTTGTTTTGGTGCACTTTATGAAAACTACTCATTTTTTTTAAGGGTATTTGTTGAGCATTAAATAATTATTTATCATTATTATGACATATTATTTATCAGTTCGATTTGGTCTGCGAACATGATATATACCCGACAGTTGGATTAGCAGCTCTAAATTTAGGAGGACCTATTGGAGTGTATTTTTTCGGTGTGTTAAATGACAGGTAAGTCAAAATCCAAAAATTCTATAAGTCTTACCATTATATTTTTATTATAACAATCGATTTGTATTATTTTAATTTTTTATAGAATCGGAAGGAGGAAGTCGTATTTTTTGTGTTTGGCTACATTAATTGTCGGTAGCTTGTTAACAGCTTGCGCAATGAATTTCTGGTGGTGGGCCATGTCCAGAGTAATAGTAGGTTTGACTATACCGGCTGTTTATCAAATACCATTTATTATATGTAAGTATAAAATAAATAATTTGAAAAACAAAAGTTGAATAATTTTGAAAAAATCGACTTTCTTAATTACCCAAAAGTGCTTTAAATATTTTATTAAGTAGATTTTGAAATTTACGAAGGTATTTAAAGTTATATATATATTTTTAGTTAAATAAAAATTATGTATTATTACGTATTTACGTTGCTTTTTTGAAATGTATACATTATTGTTGAGATGCGATAAATAATAATTGAACTAAATATTATTATTGTGCTATTCAGAACTCTGTATATTAGTCATTTGTAATGACGTATATTGTATCTAAAATAATATCATTTTATAATCAGTTTATTTTATATTTCTAATTTCTATGACGTTGTTGTCCTTAGAACCCTATATTTTCAATTTAAATACAAACCAAAGAAATAATTTAACGTTACAATATAACTGAACACTACATTGTAGTGTCACTGCGATGATTGAGTGATATAAAAGTGTTTTAGTAAGTCATAACTCATAGTTTATAATGAAATTTACTGAAGATTTAAGTCACTGAATGTTGTCAGGGTCGGATATTAAAAAAATAAATAAACTGTTTGTACTTATACCGACGCTGCTGCAGGAAGGACAAAACGCATTCCACGAAAGATTGTTGTCGAGCCAATTCTATTATAATATTTATTTTGATCGCATTTGTTTTTTTACAATAATGATTTGTTATTATATTTTTTATGTTAATGAAATTGATTTTAATACAAACAATGACACATATTATAATCATTTATTTTATACGTTATAAAATCATACACACGGATACGTCATGGTGTGTCAATGTCCTCAATGTATGATACGACCACCCGAGTCTTGATTTTCTTCTACCCACCCATTTTATATAAATATATTTTTTTTATAAATAGTAAATACTTACCTATTCAATAAAAATAAATAATTCAACTTCAAACTAGTCCATTCATTATAATATTATATTTTTTATCTACAGAAATGGAAATTGTTTGATCTTTAGATTGTGTGAAACAAGAAGGGTTTATAAAAGGCACCTACTTTATTTGAATTAGTTTTTTCATTATTTTTCAGTTATTTTTTAATATTAAGAGTTTGGTACTTAATTAAACAAGTAATGTGTTATAAGTCATCCAACAATTTGAACAACAAAATAATCCATGGTTAAATCAAATTAAAAAATAATTATACATTGTAAGTAATGCAATAATTTTTCCGTTGTTGCGAATTTCAAACATTATGTTTGAGTAAGTATGTATTTTTTAAACCACAATGTTCTAATAATTGGAATCAGGTTCAAAAAAGCAATAATGGAATTGCATTCGATCCGATTATTTCATAGAACTTCTAAATAGTAGGTAAAGGCATTTAGTTATTTTTATATTTGTGTATTAATTGTTGTGTGTCTAACGATTTAGTACGATGTACCTAATATAATGTATAGAAATAAACTTAAAAGTGTGTTGAGATCAGCAATTATTAATGACCAATATTAAATCTTGTATTTTATCGACAATTTTTTCCGATATATGTGTGATATGTCAAAAATACATAAATTTTGTTTAAAATTGAGTTATACATTTTAGTAGGTACACTTTATTCCTTCTTTGTGTGATTATTTTATTTAGGTAAGTACCGTTGTGCTCTCAAACTTAAATTACCATCAAGCTATAATAAATTAAGACAATATTTGTTTCTTCTATTGATTATAATTATTATAATATAGGTAACTATATTTAACACTAGGTACTACAAAGAGGTACATATTGATTTTTTGTTAAATAATTATTTATTTTTATATTAAAAATGTTTGAACGTTTCTTGCTGCCAACCCTGAAAAGGTTTAGGGTCGAATGTTTGAGATCACTGATTAAATCATTAAAAGTAAATTAATTACTTTATATTTTTTAATAATTAATTAAATTTAATTTTGCAGTGATTTCATTTAATTCCATATGATAAAGTAAATTATACATTTTATAACGAATAGCATGTTAATGAGGTGCCGTAACCCTCCTTGTGTAGTTTTCGGGAGTGATGAATGATGATAAAAACATTACATATTTATTTAAGCTGAGTGAAATTCTACTATTTGATAGGTGCATTCTACTGTCCCGAACGTAATTCGACACAAACAATAGTGCAATTCGACCCTAACCGTGTACATAATATTTTCAAAGGTTAAATTTCCTCCTTCCCTCCCAACCACAATCAACGATCAGAGATGTCCTTTAGGTTATTTGAGTAGTCACAATATAGAGTATACTTACCTAATATATAATTTTTATTATTATAGCACACCTCAATAAAATTATTTACGTTCTGACAATAATTGACATACCTAACAGGCATAGGAACAACAAATATTGTCATCGTCAATTTTCGATAACTACAATATAATATTATAATATAAAATTCTGACAGTCAGATGTTTTCTTCTTAGCTCTGGAACTCGTCGGACCTAACTACAGGTCGTTCATTACCGTGATGACGTGTATGTTCTACACACTCGGTCTGGTGTTGTTGTCCGGCGTTACGTACTACGTGAGAAATTGGGTGTACTTGGCTTTGGCGACGTCCGCCCCGTTCACACTGTACTTTATATACTGGTGGCAAGTTAAAAATATATTCATTATCGTGGAACACGAACACGGACACTGTGGCTTCATTTTAGAATTAGCGTGTCCCGTGTGCGTCTGTCACACGACCCGACTCGATGTTGCACACAAACACACATCAAATATCATTTTGCGTTACAGGTTCCTGCCGGAATCGCCAAGATGGTTACTAGCCAAAGGTCGGATCGAAGAGGCGCTGAAAATACTCGAAACCCTGGCCAGGATCAACGGGACCGTGCTCCCAGATTCGTTCAAACAGAAACTGAAGGTACGGCGATACAGTCTGTTTTTTTTAATCATATTCCGATTGGTGATTTATATACCTACTATAAAATATTTGTGATCTTTGACTATGTTTTGTAAATCACTCTCACATTTTGTTATAGCTGCCTAATCATTATAGACACGGTACATAGACATGGTACCTACTATGTTAGTGTAAACAGAAAAATAGTAGCACACTACCATATCATAATATATGCAATAACAAATAAAAAAACATATAAACATATTTTTTTTCCCAAGAAAGATATGCAAAATATTCGATAGGTTAAACATTTTTATTTAAAGTAATTTTACCGTATGCTATCGATACCTATGTAATGATATCAGTAAATTCAATCTAATAAGTTACTATAATATGTGAGCAATGTTTAAAAATATGTCTATTTTGTGAAATTCGTCATATTCTGTTGTCTAATCGTTATCTAATCAAAGCAGTAAATAGAGTCTTAGCATAGAAAGAAATAGTTTACAAAACAAGCATGTTATAACAATATTATGTTTAGTAGAACTACTATTGGGCTATTTTGAGTTTAGAAAAATGATAATGGAAAAATTAATTATTAAATAAGTAATTTCTATTATTTGTGTTTAATCACACGCTATACACCACGTCACCACCATGATATTTTAATTACCTACGCGTAATACTAATAGTACAATAAGTATCTTTTGAATTCTGAGCGAAGTGATAAATGTATTTTTTTATTTGTTAAACAATGATGTGTATATATTTTGGATTAGAATAAATGTTTCAATCTTTGACACAGACTGTGGTGACTTCAATTGTTGGTGGTCACTGGACAATTGTTATTGTCCGGTAAATATTGGAGTAGTGTGAGAAGTGAGGAGAAAACACAGACACCAAATGCGAAATTGAACGTACAATGGACATTAGATTTTATTAGAACTAAATATTATTATGAATTACACTCTGTCTCACTCGAAATGGTCGGTGGTTGTCATCACGGACCTGGTTATTCTCGTATAGAACCAGGGCAAGTCGCTGTCTTTGATACTGGTCCATTCGTTCAGCTGGCTTGTCTCATCCATCCCGAGACTAGGTAAGGTGGAAAAGTCAACAGAGTCCCAATGTTTTTATCTTGAAGTGGTGCATAGGCGCAAATAGCCAAATAATTTTAGGGGGACTAAAGCCCCTCCTATAATTTCTAAAAATTATATACGCTCAGAACTAATTACTGACTTTTGAACTGAGGGGACTTGGCAAAAATATGGGGGACTAAGCCCCCCCTTATTTGTGCCAATGAAGTGGTGGTTAATAGGAACGAGCGTCAGTTGTAAGCTATGTAGTGCTTGTACTAGGTTTTTTCGACTGCTATGGATAAAGTCACCTTGATCTCTGAGTGTGATTTCTGATGGAAAGTTTAATCTAGTTGATATTTCCAATGGTGAAAAAGCAGGTATATCTGAGTACTGGTCTTATAATGCTTATAAAAAAAAAAATTGTGCCTATATATTTTTCATATTTTTCAACTGATATTGTAACAATATATCAGGACAGGAGCCTCGTATAAAATGTTTACACTTTTTGGCCCAACAGATAAAACTTAATTGATATTTATAGAAAAAAAACTAAAAAAATTGAAAACTGAAAATGTAAACACCTCAAAAAGAGGCAAAATATTTGGAAATATTATACCAATGTTATGGTCTATAGAAAATTCTAATATAAACATTCAGTCAAAATTCCATGTACCTAAGGTCATTTGTTTAAGAGTTGCACAAAAAACAAAAATCAATTTTTTTGAAAACAGATTTTGAGTACAAATTCCTGTTTTTCCTTAATTTTTCTTTTGTTTTTCAAGGCGCTTTTGAAAACTACTGGAAAAATTATACTTTTGACCTTCCAAGTACCAACTCGATTCACAACCACGGAATTATTTCGGTTCTTTTGAGTTAACTCTAAATATTTGATATTTTCGACTATCCTTAGTTTTTTTATTTATGTAGATAACAATTTTGTTTCTCTGTTAAAATGCTTGAATATGTAATAAAATATTTTTTTCAAATTTCTTTTCAACAGTTAAAAATTATTAAAAAAATACGTATAACCACATTTTTTATATAACCCATAGAAGGTAAAATGTTGACTTAGTTTGTCTAAATTACTTGAGTTTGCTAACTGTTTTGGAAATAAAAATAAAAATAATTATCATTTTAGATTCTGAGTGGAGCATTGAATGTATTGATTTTACAATGACGTGTGTGTATTTTATTTCTGTCTGTAAACATTTTTTTTTAGTAGAAATAATGATAAGATTTTCCATTTCAGCATTTACGCAAAACTAGTTTTCGACATAATTAGTTTAGTTTTTTTGGTAAACAATAAACTAAAAACCGTCAATTTTTTTTACGGATGCTTATATTACAATTTTCTATTTACAATAAAATGTTCACAATATTTTGGCACTTTTTGAGCTTATAATAGTTTATACGCATAAGAATATTTCAATTTATATTAGTTTTTTAATATTATTGTCGGTAAAAATACTATACAATTGTATTAGTCTCTCATAAGTTGTTGTTGATGGAAATAAAAAAACAGTAGACAAAAAATCCACAATCATTTTTTATAAACGTTTGAAGTTATTAATTTGATAAAATTCTTCAAAATCACAAACATTTTCAAATTATTTTGAGTTAAACGAGGTTAAAGTTAGGAAACGATTTACTTATCTTTTTGTAATTCAAAAATGTATAACTGTAGAAACTATACATTTTTACCTAATGATTATTTTATAATTTTCTATACATTATAATGTTTTCAAAATATATATTTAATAATTTTTGTTTTTGTTTTTTTTTTATGAATGTCACTACGATTGTTTCGTTGTGTAAAAAAGCTTGGTAATTCCTCAAGTTATTAAAATTATTAGGAGCAAAAGAGTATTCACCTTTTCAATACATTAAAATAATTTCATGATTCGATTTTGAGAAGCCAAAATAAAAATATTTTTTCAAGCAACATGTCAAAATGATTTTAAAAATCAACACATTACCGTTTGCTTTCAAAATTCTCAATTATTATTCACCATAGTCCAGTATTGATGTTGATAAATTAGAACAAATTATTGTAATACCTTGCTGTAGTTTATGTCCTGTCAATAATTATATTCGTGTATAAAATGTCACACGGCGTAACGTATAGGCAATAGAGGTACATAACTGCGTTGGAGGACAACGCCATACAAACGTAAAATAAAAACAATTTTTGATTTATTGAAATTTTAACAATCAATATTTCTGATAGATAATTGGTTCTAGTTGATAATTTTAAAATAAATTTCAAAGTAGAAAATGTCCAGTATTTTTCAATTGTGGTTAACAATAACAAAAAAAAAAAATTTATAGCAAAACGGAAAACTGTACTCAACACCATAGTATTTGAATAAAGTGGTTTTGTGTTTTATATGTAGGTAATTGAAAAAATAAATAATCGTAGATACTTAACCTTTTCTCCAAATATTAATATTTTAATTTTCTTTAAATTATAATATTTTGACTTATTTATAAACATTTATAATTTTTTTTTCTATAATTAATGTCGTTAATAATTTTTCATTTGGTTAAAAAGTGAGAAAATTTAAAACCATATTCCTTATAAGTTGTTATTATAGGACTTAAAAAATATATAAGCACAATTTATTTTTATAAGAATTTAAAGTTCAAATAAAGAAGCAGAACAATATCTAAAACAAAGAGATTGAAAATCAGTTACCTGGGTACCGATTACCGCGGTAATGTTCCACACAAGTAGTATACAATAACGTTTTCTACAAAAATGAAATAAAATTGCTTACAACAGATATAGTAGTTAAACACTAGTAAATATTTCATTATATCCCTATGAATATCTAATAAACATTGTAGGTACCTAACAGTTAGCACACCCCAATGGCTGAAATACTTTGCTCAGCCCTTGGGTCTTAAAATTTGATTGAACATTCTTTTGTTAGATATTAACTAACATTGATAACATTGTTATAAAGCAGATTACAGTGAATGTAAAATAAACTCAAAACAATAATTTCCGAACTAAACTGTACACTTTTTATAGGGTGTTTTAATAATAACGCTTTCTCTTAGGTATTAGGGTTTGATTTACTGTCATACAATTGACTACAGTTATTGTTACCTATGTTATTATAAAAAACCGTTTGAATGAATATTCTTTGTCTAAAGCAAAAAATGATGATGCAACGCACTCTGAGCGAAGAAAAACGTTTGAAAGAAGGGCCAGGGGTGTTGACCCTGTGTAGGACGCCGAACATGCGGTTGAAGACAATTCTGATAACGTTCAATTGGTGCGTGCAATAAAATTGGTCTGTTGGAGTGAAATTTTACGTCAGGACACAGTTTTTTCTGTTTCCTTTCAGGTTCGCCAACGATATGGTGTATATTGGACTGAGTTATTACGGTCCATCGTTGGGACAAAATCAATACTTGAGCTTTCTGCTGTCGTCCGTCGTGGAAGTGCCTAGCTGCCTGGTATGTTGGCTGCTCATGGACCGGTGGGGACGCCGATGGCCTCTGTGTCTGGCCATGACGTTGAGCGGCATCAGTTGCATCGTCACCGTCACCCTGCCCCCAGGTAAACTGAACGGATATCGAAGTGTGGAGATATTATGACTTGCGTGCATACTTGTTTATTTTTCCATAAATTGTTTTTGTGGTCATTTGGAGAGTTTCAACCCTCGATGCAACATCACAACTAGGTAGTGTAACTATTATAAATGTCGAGAATATGTTCAAGACTTTGGAACTGTGGGAGGAAACGCGAGTACATATTTTAATATTTATTTCAAATGACAAAATAAGTTTAAGTGACCATTCTAGTTTTCTTAACATACCAGAATTGGTAAAATGTATTGTAATAAATACTTTTGTATAAAGTATTATAACCTATTATAAAATTGAATTTTTAAAAAAAATGGGGGGGGGGAAGTAGGCAACCGCTCTGCTGTAGAGTTGATGAGATGTCGAGTGTACTTTGTCCTTGTCCTTACTGTAATGTGTGTAAATTTGAATTAAATGTATACATCATTACACACAAAACACGATTCTGACCGAAAACGGTCGTCATTTTATGATATATTTATGTTGCAATTAAAATAATTAATTTTATTATTAGTATAAATAGTAATACCTACATGGGTTGAATTTATTTTTGTCAAAAACATCGCATTTATATTACTGTCAATTATTATAATATTAGATATATATTTATGTATTATATTAATATTATTAACTTTAAGTTAATTAAGTCACAAAGAATTACGTTTACCCGTGACATTTCAATAGTACATGGTATAAATAGGCAATACCTTAAAATTCATCTAAATGTTTTGAATACACCATTGAATTTATATAATATTTCAAGTAACCATATCCATTCCAGTAACCAATAATATTTTTGATTCCCAAAAAAATAACTAAAATCATTATTTTTTGTTTGGATTTCTAATTATATCCAAATGTGAACTTAAACTGTCTATAAATAAATTGTGAGCATGTATTTCTTTTTAAATTTTTTAGTTTTCAGCATTAAATGCTTTAAATTATTTAACTACTTAAGTGGTACCTTATATTAGATGATCAAGTCTTATAATATATAAACATTAAACATTTCATAAATCTTTACAAAATAGTTTGCAAGTTTTCGTGATTTTGTCAAATGTTATCAACATTTGAACAATAAAAAACTGTACATAAGTATAATACATTTCTTAAAGAACAACTTATGTGAGATCCTGTATATCATTTTCAAGACTCTTGACCAAGTTTAAAGATGTGTATCGAAACGTTAAATAAAAAACAACTAAAATTCGAAAATTGCCTATAAATGGTTTAAATTAAGTATAAATATTTTGAAATTTGAATTGAGATTATAAACAATACTTTAAGTAACAGTGGAATATTTCAAGTTTCTACTATTTATATTTTTGAATTACCTACATCACACTACATAATTGATTTTATCAAAAACTGGTTTTTCATACATTTTCCCGTTTTTACAGATTTTATTTTAGAATTTTTTTACTTTTAACCACCTAAAGAAGTGTTCACTATGGACGCATAACATGCGTCCTATCATTTATAATAAAAAATAATTAATAATTAATACTTGAACTATAATCATATGCAATACAAAAAAAAAATGTATCTCCGCATAGTGAATTACACGAGGAAAAAATTAATTCAGCAGTGAAGGGGGTCATTGGGGGCCTTTGAAGATCATATAAGGGTCTATAATAGTTAAGGGCCAATTTTAAAACATTCAAGAAAATTACTGTAAAAGAAACGAGTAAGTGGATGTCACGCTTCTCTACAGTGGATTACAAGTGGGTCACTGTAATGGCTGGTGTTAAATTTGAATTCAATCATATAATATCATTGTATTCGGTAGCTGGTAAGTTGAGTTTATATTATTTGTATACAATAATCTACATGAAAAGTTCCAAGTACCTACCCACGAATAATATTTTTAAATTACAACAAAACAAATAAAATCTTTATTCTTGGTTATTTAATGGGTATTTAATTTTGTCCAAATCGGAACGTAAAATAACTATAAAAAAAAAACTACTATTATATATTTTTTTGATTTTTTGGTTATAGAATAACCTACTTCCTTGGAATTTTGTTTTAAATTTTCAATCCATAGATGGAACATTTTTATGCATTTCTTACTCAAAATAATTTGCATATTTTCGTGGTTTTTACATATTTTGTAAAAATTAGAACTTTAAATGCTTATAAAAAAATAATCAATTGTGACTGCATTTTTAATATTTTTCAACTGCAATTGTATCAATATATATTAGGGGACTTGTATTCATTTTCAAAACTTTTTGACCCAACGAATTAACAAGTAAAAATATTTTGAAAATTGTATTTTTAACCTATTTTGCTAAAAAATTCCCGTTTTTCCTTAATTTTTTTATTTTTCTCGTCGCATTTGAAAACTACAGGGAATTTTAAATTTTTATTCTCACCGACTAGGTTCACTTTGTCATCGGATAAGATACTGAAGTTAAAAAATGAAATAGCATTATTTCGACTATTTATCGTGTAAACATCAGACTCAAAGAAAAAGAAACACTCATCATTGTAAAATCAATATATTCATCGCTCCGCTCAGAATCTAAAATCTACATTTAAAGATATAATATTTACATTTTAATCATTTTTAATTGTAAGTCGAGTGTCGAATCACTCACCTCTCACATAAATAGTCAGTTTCAATATTTTATCGACTTAATTGACTTTTGAACTCTAGCATGATAACGTTTGTAACATACGATTAATTACGACTTAATCGTAATCTCAAAACGAGGTTCTCAGCTGATTTATCGAAAATAATGAAATATCGCGACAGACTTGATGCCGAGCCTTACACAAGAATTCAAATTTCATCCAATAAGCCTACCATTAAGTATATCTGTAATAATAAAATGCAATTCCATTAATCTCATCAAAATTTTAATTGAAAAGTCCGGTTTGTCTATTATTTTAAGAACTACTTTTTAGTTAAATTTATATTATTACTATGAGAAATAACTGCAAATAATCTTTATACAGAATGTTAGAATTGGTTGCATAAAATATATTGAAACAAAGTAGGGGTTCCACGACATTAAAAAAGGTTCCACTGATAAAAAAACATTAGGAAACGCTGTGTTAAAGAATCAACTATAGTCCCTAGATCCAATTTACTATCAAAAACCACTCTTAAAGTTGAAAATCTAATCATTTTTACCGCTTCAAAAAGTCATGCAATACTTAAAAATAAAAAAAAACTCACATCATTGTAAAATCAATACATTTGACTGCCGTTATTAAAATTTTATTTTTATTAAGTTTTTGGTAAACAAATTGACCACTGCCATTAACATGATGAATTTAGGTATTAATGTATTATTAAACGTTATTAAAATATAAAGCGTCAATAAAATAAAATACCTTTTATTAACTATTTTTTGTTCTTCTGGTTTTGTTTATACGAGTATGCGCTTATTTCGATAGTCGTCTAATATTCTTTAAATTAAAATAAAATCGTTATCCACAGTTTTTGGCTTCGAAACGTTAAAACAATGCGACACAGTATCGAGAATTGCTATTACGGTTGCCACTTGTTTGTTAACTAGAGTGCACTGCATAACTGAAACCTCCCCCATTAATGCTCCGGTTGTACGTTACTGTAGGTCATCAAGTCATCGATAAACATAATTTTACGTGACAATGCACATCTAAGGGAATCTTATGACCTATAGACATTTAAGAAGTTATGAGTGCAATTTATAAATTATGTGTGTATATATATATATATATGCAATGAAATATTATAATTTTGTTTTGTGTAATAATGTACTGATGCAGACTCTAAAGACGTGTTTAACCTATACACTTCTCACCTTTCATCCCTTGCTGAACCTATCGGATTTCATTTCAGATGCTGTGATCACTACACTGGTTTTGTTTTTGTTTTCCAAGTTCACAATATCGGCTTCGTTTTTAATAATCTATCCGTTTGCCGGTGAACTCTATCCGACACAATTGCGTGGCATTGGAATTGGAACCTCTGCGTACATCGCTGGTCTTGGTTTGGTATTAATACCATTTATCAACTATTTGGTAAGTAGATGCACCTTTATTTACCAATAATATATTTATACACTATTACATAGATGATAGATTACAAGGTGTACTAGCGGACTATAACAATTCAACGGTTGTACCTGATAAAAACAACTCGGAACTATATTTTAAAAATCAGATGTTCGAAAATTGTACAGCAATGTATATAAATGTGTATAATTTGTTTAATTATTGCTAATTATTTTGGTAGAATTTAGAATTTGTTTAATTTTCATATTTTTTTGGACCAACTTGTAAAGATAATTATTGTAAGATAATTAAAAGTTCAGCTATTATTTTATGTTATTATAGAGAGACTAGAGTAAGGTAATATACGTACAATGCAACTTAATATATAATATGTAGGCACATAATCTTACTCTACGTAAAAAAATATCAGTTGTACAAACAGTATTTGAAGTAATAACAGTAATGACATTTAAAAGTAAAATTTTGATAGGACTATGTAAAACATTTACCGATGATAAAACTCAAATTAAAAATAAAAATATTTAAAAATACTCGAAAATTTACCAAAGATAGATACTTTATATCATATAGGTTAGAGCAGGTACAGCGATAAATAATTTCTAAGTTTACATTTTACTATAATTCTTAAATAATTCGTTTTCCATAATATTTAGAATATAAATTATGAGGGAAAACATAATTCTTACTATATAACTATTCTCGTTCTACTATATAAGCATAACAAAGTAGGTACCTATAAACTACATAATATATGTTTAATTTTTAAGTTGATAATTTAGTTGCAATTTAATTTACTTATTTTTTAATGCACGTGTATATTATATTTTAAGACCTTTAAAATAATAAAAAAAATATTTACTGTTCTAAACATATATGATTAATTTATCATATATATATTTGTTCAATTTCGTTTATGATTTAAGTATAAACATTTAAAATTTCGATACCACTTTTAAAGATCTAATGTAGTCATCAGTGCTTAGATTGGAAAAAATAAAAGAAGGGGGATGCAAAATGATAAACAATTTTCGTACTCGTAAGATTTAAATATCTTATTGGTTAAGAAATAATCATAAGGGGTATTCCGCCTCTCTTCTCACTCACTACAATTCAAGCAATAGATATGGTATATACTCTAGGATTAAACTTACTTAAATTAATATTGTTTTCATTTTACAAAACACAAAATATGTTGAGCAATATATTGTATTGTCATTGACCGAATATTTGCAAGGGAAGGTATTAAATTTAATATGATATAATGAATCGACAATTTGTATCCGGTTTGAATCGAATTAGCTACATATTATGTTACACGATATACGTGCGTTTAGATGTTTTAAGTAATATAAATCACAACACGACGATTTATATTTCTTCAACTATACGACGTACACTGTCTAACTTTAATATGTGTGCCATAACGACAAGCGTCAATTTTCAAAATAAAATTTCGACACTACAAATAAACATTCGAGTTGTATATAAATATGGTATTTGATAAACATTAATGAAATGTTAGTTAATTATTATTATTTTTTTTTAATTGGCTTCATTGATTTAAAGAACAATAATAAACAACTATAGCAATAATGAAGAGAGGTCAAAAACCTATACTGAACGCGACATGGCTATAAAAAATAAACAATAGTAGTATTATGAATTTGGATTATTTAACTCATAAAACAAATAAGGACAACAACGTAACGGAAAAACAAAATATTAATGAACCTCCAAATAAACGTTTTTCAACAACTTTTTAAACCAACAAGAGTAAAATTTTTTTTTTATAATGTTTGGCTTACTATTCAAATATTTTAAAATATATTCTCTGTAAATATACTTATCAGTTATCACCGTCTATTTTTTGTACTTTTTACCACCAGTTTCTCAAGATTTACTTTAATATAATTTTAAATTACTTTAGGAGGTAGGAACATAGTTGAAATTTGTGAATTACGTTCCATTAAGCAAACATATGAACAAATTAAAAAAAATATCTTTTATGCAGTTAAAATTCAAAAATACATAATATATACTTATTAATGAATATGTACGAAACAAGTTAAACTATAATTATTATAGGTATATAGAGAAGTATTTACACTGCACTTATCGAAATTTTTTATGGAATGCGATATATTATTTTGGTGACTGATAATCGAAGAAAGTTTTCAAACTGTTTTTTTGTTCCGACTAAAAATTTAAACTAAACTATTTACAATACGATTGTCAGAACGATTTTCAGAACAATCAGTTTTCGGTTATGTTTACCTGGTTCGTTGTAATAGACATTTTCTGTAAGTTGTCCTATCTTAAGTCACTGAACGCTTCACGTGATCACATGTCTTGTTTTTCTGTTACTATGAACTTTTTCATCAATAATACACATTCTAACATTATGTTATATACTTTTATTAAAAAATAATTATATTTTTATATGAATTCCTATCGTCTCGAAGTATGAAATTTGAAACGTTTCGTTTTTGTTTAACAATACAATTTAAATATAATTATATGTAAATAATTCGTAAATTGTTCAACTGCAGGGACGTGAAAATTTAGTTTTGCCGCTGTTGATAATGGGCATACTATCAGTGATTGGTGGGATCACCGGTCTCCGTCTTCCCGAGACATTGCATTATAAGTTACCGCAGTCAGTCGAAGAGGGAGAAGAATTCGGGAAGAACTGGACTATGGCGGATTGTATAACCTGTGTTCCCAAAAGGTAAATTTTTATAGGCTATAATTGTACGTTAAAGCCATGTATCGCAACCCATATCAAATTCTTTTAAATTGTTTATTTCAAACCTTCATTCATAACTCCAGAAAAATGACCGGTATAAAGTTTGAATATACGTATAAACGAAATAGGTAACTCACTGGTGAGCGGCCATACAACCTACTCCGAATAAGTATTTGACACAAATACGATGTTTTATTTTGATCATCATACTACGTTTAAAACAAAATATTTGTTAATAGGTATACCTGCATAAATAATAATATCAATTCAACAACAAAGGTTATTAGTAATACGACGAACCTACATATTATTTACATTTACATATATACATAGTATATATATACATATGTACATGTATTATAGTTTTTAATTTCTAAATTAGTTTATATACATCTGTCTGTTTTAAAAATGTATTATTTTGTTTGTTGTTTCTATTTGTGGTCCTAAGATCTATTTGATTGAGTACATAGTTTTTCTTTGTATATTATATTGGTGACATTTGGTTAGTCATTAATATAATATAAGTTGAGTAATCTTCTAGAAAGTTGAGTAATCCTCTACTGTCTCGAATTTCCTATTTTAAAAATTATGTCTTTAGTTGGTATTAGGTAATAATGTTTTAAAACCAAACTAATAACTGTTTACATGGTATATTATCTAAAAAAATGTATTTATATTAATTGTTGGTAATTTTAATCGAATATAAATATGTACCTATTAATAGCTTTATACATTAGTTAACTCAACATTAATATTTTAACTAAAACCATACGATGAATCCAATGAACATGGCGTACCTATCAACGACTTAAATAGTTGATGATTAGGTAATACAGCAAAAATATGATCATAATATTGTAAACCATTCCAATTTCCCTCTTATTTTTCAGCGATGTGAGCGTATATTATATTTATAAATTGTCGTTGAAAATAAAACATGATGTTTATTTACAGGCCTTCGGAGCATTCGAATTCGTACGAAGACCTAACTGAAAAACTTGAAATGTCTCCTACGACGGAAACGACGGCATTTGCAACAGGGAGTGGTGGTGGCAGATCTAAATTCACTAGACAACAAAGCACCATGGAAACTCCACTAGACTCTTCAGGCGTAGTCAAGATGACTTGCTGGTTTTAGTTGATTTGTTTGTCTTGTTTGATTTATATCGTTTCTGTGTAATATAATATAGATAGTTGGTGCGTAGAATAGTGTGTAAAAGATAATCTACAAAATATGGCATGTAGACAAGATAAGGTTTTTTTATAGTAAAATCTGTTATGATTTATGCATATAATTCCATAAAAATTAATTTTTTACTAAACCACTTACTAACAAAAGTGTACTAACATAATATGATAACATATTATAAAATGTTACGCGGACACAAGAAACCATTTAAATTAGTTCAAATGTGTTTATTTTTGAGTTATAAATTGTGGCCATTTATTATTTGGAAATAGAACGAATATTACTATTCGAAAAAAATAAATTTTGCCAATATAAATATTAATAGAATTATACCTATATTCGTATTTGTTTTTGATGAGTGCATAATACACAAGTATAGTCTGTATATTTATTATTTACTTACAATATCCAATATCGTATTAATTTGTTAATCTAAATTTACAATTAAAACGTTACACATTTTTTGCTTTTATCGTTATTCAGAATTAAAATTATAAGTTTTCCGTTTTCCGTTAACCGTTATTTAGAATATTGTTAATACAATAATACCTATTAAATGTATTAATAATAACTAATTCAGGCAGGTTATGGCCCGGCTACGGAATATAATATAATCGATTCTAATGTCCGTGCATTAAATAAATATTTCTCGTCGTCCGTTATTTTTTTTTTCAATGATATTCTATAAATTACGGTTTGTTTTGCGGTATTTAATTATTTTTGATTATCGTTTTCCGTTATAATTACGTTTACAAATTTCAATCGTTTTTTTTCTGTCAAATATAACGTTATAATCATTACGTTATTATAACTTTTGCAAGCCCTGAAATGTACACATGAACAAAATTATCATTTTAAAATTAGCCAGAAATTGGTTTATTATATTGCTTGCACTTTTAAAATGTTTTCATTAGGAAGCAGAATATTTAACGGAAAATTATTATTGCTAAACGATGGTGTTTACCCATTTATAAATTTTACCTTTGGATTAGTAGAATACTACCAATTGTAAATTTGTAAATATGTTAGGTTGTAAGAAACTACTCCATACATAAAATTATACATCATAAATTACAGAAATATAGTCTACTTCAGAATATGAAATTAAAAGTCCCAATTATTTATCGTATACAATTAAAAAGTTAAAGCAATATTTAAAGATAATAATATATAATATACAAATATAAATGATTGAAAAAACCAAGTACACATTTCATTTAAATTTTTACAAATTATTACAGCCAGCCAATAAAAACATGTTCAATTATAATACTTATTATATTATATCTTATAGTATTTTAAGTTTTAAAGATGGTGTAGTGATTATTATCGTTATTAAGGTGTTGCTATTATTAACTTACAAGTTTATTTACAGCGCATCTAAATAATGTAGCTTAGAACAGTTCGATAGGTACCTACGCATAAAATGATAGTTGAGATAATATTTATTTTAGATAAATCGATTTGCACTAATAAATGTATCTACTCATTTTAAGTTACTCAAAAGTCAATATATTATGTCATGTATTTTTAAGTTAAATATTAATTTAGATGTATACATTATGCATGTACATAATTTAATTTTGCTCTTAAAACAATAATATATGCCATGGTAAGTTTGCTTTATTTCTACGTTTCAATAAAAGCCATAATGTTTCCAATAATAAGTAATTACATTGAAATATTAACACTAACATTTTCATATTAAAATTTAAAATGCAAAAATACGTTTGATTTTTAATTTTGATTGACTTCATTGCCCATAGATTTCCATGAATGTTGTAACAAATAATAAATTGAAGATCTTAGTTATTATTATGAAATTTTAGAACTGTTAGTAATTAAAAACTTAGATTTATAACTTATTATTTATTTATTTTTAACTTATATTTTGAATTTACTTTTTGTTCGTAAAATTTGGAAATAGAATAGAGTTAATTTCTTAAAAAATGTCAAGTGTTATCGTCATGACATAATGAATAATACATAATATTAAAAGCAAATGTCTAATAAGACATGAAGAAATTAATATTATTTGCCAAACTAAGAACTTTAGGGTTAATGATATTAAAAATAAAAATATTTTTTATTCTTCTCTAAAAAATCAAAAAAGTAATGTCCCGCATATTTCTTATAACCATACGTTTTTAAATGTCAGTTGAGAGTATAATTTTAAATATGCAAGTTCAAAATTATTTATTTTTTAACTTTAAGTATTTTGAATCCTTATTACAAGATAATAAGTAAGGTAAAATATTAAAAAATAATAATAATACAATATAAATACTAAAATATGTTCTGTATTGGTTCATTGTTTTTTTGATATATTATAGAAGTGATCTAGTGAAAACTATTATTTTATTAGTGTAAGCATTAAATGTTTGTATTACATACATTTTAATGGTAATAAATAATAATATATTATATGAAATGGTTTTTTTTTTTATTTGTTCGTCATTATTATATTATACATTTTCTGAAAACACAACATGGATTTAACTGTCTTTGGGTTTCGAAGTACAAAACTAAACTTGCAGAATATATTTCCAAAAAAAAAATAATAGAAGTGTTATGAAAAATGTCGACCTTTACAAAATTAAATATACTAATTACTCATACGTTACTAGACACTGTCTAGTATAGTTTTAGTATAGTAAATTATATTACTTTCGGGAACGGGAGCACTATAGGTTCATCAAAGTTATAAGTAGCTATTAATATAATAATAATAATATATTTTAGTTTATTATAGGGTTGAAACTTGATAATATATTGGTTAAAAAAATAAAATAGTTTTTATGATTGAATATAGTAAATTTTAGATTATAGTATTTTATATTTGCTCGAAACCATCAATATTTGTCACTGGAAGTTTTGAACATCACTACGGCGGGTATTAAGTGACGAATTGAATACACATTTTGAATCATATAGAGTCTATATTTTTAACGAGCAATGAAATTCACGGGATCAGCTAGTACTTATTAAAGTTAAAAACAATAATACAAATTATACAAATTTCAAATGAATTGCTAATACGATTATAGTATAAGTTTTTAATTTAGTAATCTATGTGCAAGTATAAACAAAGTGGTTATAGTGTTATACTTCAGGAATCACTATTTAATAAAAAAATCTACAAGTTATATAAAATCTCGTAGTACCTAAATGTAAACATAATATAAGGAAAGCAACATATTATTATAGTTTAGCCTCCTCAAATATGGTTATCGTAATGTACCTTATAAGAGGACGATAAACCCGACGTCTGTGCACAGCACCTATACCTATCCGTTTCTACACTATTCGATCACAAATGGGTTGAAATCAAATTTAGAGTTATTATTATTATAATTATTAAGTATATTATCAGTCAACTCGACAGTGGGAAACTTAATCTATCGTCGTAGATATGACGTGTACGAAATCAAACATAGGTAATCATTTTTATGATAACGAAAGATATTGGATCGAATATTGCAGTGGCTACTTAATCAGTTTCAATATTAATAAAATAACTAAATGTTTAAAAGTGTTCCATGTAATTTTGGAATAGAAATAAAAGTGTGTGGTTTTTGGATACAAACAACAAATATAATTATCACAGTGACTCCCTTATTATTCATAAGGATCAAATTTAAATTTGTAATTCTTTCTTGTGTCTACTGTCAGGACCTGTTTTTATACGCCAGATGCCCACATGACTTTTTTTCGTACAAATACGGAACAGACTATGTGAAGTTTACATTGATAGTAATAATTTATATGTAACAATTATTGTACTGGTTATGATAAGGGCAATAATAATAAGTGATCCAAAAAAAACAATAAATTCAAAATCATTTATATTGACTAAATTTTTTAGATTTATGTAACGGCAATAAGTAAGGAACAGCAGTATATTGTATATTTGCAATCTAAGGAGAATTACATTTTTCAAATTATAAAAATTAAATCTATATCCAGGCAAATAATAATAGGTACAAAATTAGGAGTGTGCCTATATTATATAATATGCGTCTGTTCGATATTATAGGTAGGTAACTCATCTTCTACGCAGATATAATACGTCGCTGTTTGCCATACGCCAGCTGTAATAGATACGCGTACATCTACCTTCCTACATCTAATAACAATAAAACAGAATAAAAAAAACCAACAAAATAATATTCAATGAAAAAAATATCGAACGGTGTTGTGTCGTTCTATTTTTATTTTTTTTTTGTCTAAATAATTTGTATATTGCTATTACAATAATAATGTACACTATATTTTAATACCTCTCACAATACTCGGCTGCAGTGCAGTTACAACTTGAACATCGATGTTTTCCATCATATGTATACCCACTTAATAAGATACATCGAGGTCCGACAAGGTTATTCACTCGGGGGTACCCCTATGATGCACACAGTATATTGTTATATTCGAAAATTGTATAACTTATATACACACATTTGTACATATTTTTTTTTTCATTCACGACAAGCGTACACGTCGCCCGCTGAAATTTCGCTCTTTAAATACGAACGCAGGTCAGGATGTTTACTCAGGAAGTTGTTGGACGGCAACAGTTGTGGAGTCTACGCATCATCACTAGTCGACATTTTTCGGTAAATATAATATAATATAATATAATAATTATTTTATTGTTCGGTGTAGGTAGCTGTAAGTACCTACTTATGATAACAGTTGAGTCTCGACAACTCGGACCTCGGATATAACTCGAAAAGTCAAATTTTTTCCTCGCCCTTTTTTAATGTGTGTTTGAGGTGCATATGACTCGAAAAGTATACAAGTCGAGTTTACTTTTTTATTCTCCTCGAGATTCGAGTTACGAGACTCGACTTTAATGCTTAAGCAATATTGCTCGATGTTTATGTCGTTGTATTATGTATAGTAATATAGTTCGGATAGTTTTTTTATTTCCGTCGCAGGAATATTTTATACGACACGATATCTCGACTAATAATTAGGAAATCGCTATTGTAGGTCGGTCGTTATAGATATTACGTGTTATGTATTTGAAAAAAAAAACTAAAAATCATAACAATAAGGGGGCAAAAACCGTAACATTTAGAACATCGACATATAAGCAAATAATATACTATATAGTATTACAACGGTAGACGTCAAAAACCTTAACAATTGAAAAGTATTTCGTTGAATAGAAAAAATTTGCTTGCCCAGCGTTATTAAATAAAAGGAGCTGATTATTATTTTTATTATTATTATTTTGTTTTTATATGTAAATATTTGAGGCGTAAAATCCTGTTGGAACGATTCCGATTAACAAACTGCTAATGAATATCGATGTGTGTTGAACGAAACATAACGTGTTCCAAAAAAAAAATATGTTTAAAATATTAAATAATAATATGTACAATAATTCTTTGTGAGTGAATCGCTCGGACTGCACTTGTAATAATAATATATTATGTGTGCAGTAAAACAAAACTATATAGGTACTATAAAGCACTTGTTATTGACAGGGTAATTTTTACAATATATATATATACATATGATATTTATAATTTATATACATTATGTATAATATCAAAATATTTTAAAGACCCGTTTGGGGGAGGGGTAAAAACAAAATAGTCAACACACGATAGTTCATGGTCAATATTTCATTGATTAAAACATAAACTATTGGCGCGTGTCAGCACAACTGCAGCAGTATAATAGTGTTTTGTACATGCACCTAACAAAACTGAATACCGGAAACAAGATTCATCAAAAACTATATTGCGGCTTTTACTAGATACGTTGTTTTGTCTTGAACACAATATTGTAATATTCTTCGAGTAATCAAAATCCGCGAATAGACACGTCCTAGAAGGAAATAACATAGTATTTATGACGATTTCGGATAGAACTAATATAGTACTTACAATATTATGTAAAACATAAACGTGGGATTAAAAGTATACTATAGACGAAATTAGTTTATTTTAATAATTAATCATTTCCTCAGCCGCAATAATATCAGCTCGAAACTCTGACTGTAATATTATAATGCTATTAGGTACTATCATTACACCTAAATGTACATAATAAAACATCTGAGAAAATTACGTAAAATATAGTATTATAATATTAGGTATATAGTACCTACCTACGCTCTTGATTAAGCAACGATTATATTATTATTATTGTTTTTGTTTCAGAGAATTTCTGAGTTGAACCGGAAGTCGATATACAGAATAATTATGAGTGGATATTTGGCAATTATCGGTAAATATTTTATGTACCTATACATGTTATAAAATATAATAATGTTAAATAAATAAATATAATAAACAATACAATCAATATAATATATTTATGTTAGTTACAACACAAGTAGATTACTTAACATATTGTATGTTATTTAATTAACGATAAAATTATAATAAAATATATAAATATATAGTTATAAGATGGTTTCAACTTACTATGTACCTATCAGACATATTTTGACATGGTAAGTACATATAGTCTTAAAGTAAAAATGTTAAAGTACATAATATTTTACTTGCAAAATTAATTTTTGTCTTTATGTTTATTCCTACATTTGGTAAGATTGTTAATTTTATAATATATAATTATTATCTTAGATAATTTCTACGATTAAATAAATGTGATCAAATAGATATGTGCAAAACTTGTTTAGATGATATTATAAACACATAGCCTTTTAAGTTTTAGGCCCATTATACTGTAGTAGAACTACTTTAGGTTAATAATTTTAACCTAATTTTCTACAGTAAACCCTATTTATGTTAATCAGTATACTTAAGTTAGTTTTGAATATTTAATCATTATTAATTTCAAATTAACATCTAATGTTAAGTATTAGAAACGATAAAAACTGTACATTAAAAAGTACCCATAACACGACAATAATTAAATTCGTTTTATTACTAATCGCAGATTTGTAAAGAGAATAATAAACATATTTATTTTTAACAACTTACTATTATGTTGACTAAAGAATTTTTAATAATAGTAATTACTTTTTAAATAGCATACATTTTAAATTTCATTAATGCTGAAAGTATCTTTTAATATTGATTTGATGATTATTATATTATAATCTTGATTATAAATAATACAAATAAAGAATATTCACACGGGTATAGTGTAAAGTAAAAACCCTGATATGGCAAAAAATAATTCAAAATATTATATTATATGAATTTGCTTAAATATATATATTTTTTTTGTAGCTGTTTTTTTTTCATTTGGTGTTTATTTACGTGTCTATTTAGAGAATAAATCATTTAAAATGTCAACTTAAAAAATAATAAGGGAAGAGTAGTGCTAAAATAATATTTTTAAGCAGATCTTTAAATACTATAATAATTGTATATTCATTCTTAAAACTAAAATTTTAATCATAGTTTATTATATTGTATCATTAAATTTTAATTTTAATTAAAATATATCGTGTTATGATCATGATAATATAATCTGGTTTGGGTGTTGAGAGAGGACTATACTTAAGGCCTAAGGGTACGCATAATTATAATATGTACACACAACGTATTAAGTAGATAGGCACAGTGCACACAGTCAATTAATATAATTACAAAAATTTAAATACATAAATTCTATTACAATATTGACATATTTACCTAGTGTCATAATATTTTACTATAATTTATAAAGCAATTTTACTTAACTTATATTTCACTACCCAAGTGCAATAAATAAAATATCGAATACTCATTCCCGTACGTCATATTATCACCTAGTAAACTATCACGAACATTTTATACTTAGTTTATAGAATATGTTTTTCGCCGACAAATTATGTTATTACTTCACATTCGGTTCGCTTTCAACGCCATCATATTAGTATTATTATAGGTACTCATAATTATTATAGACTTAAAATTAATTCCATAAAATATTGTCTGGTATAGGTACCTAATATTATGATTTATTGATTTTATTGTTATTTTACTGTTCTTTTTGTGCTTTATTTAACTTGATTTAGAATAGGTTTTTAGTATTTAATAAGGTCAATTTACTATTGGTTATAATTAATTATGTTTGGTCAAATATTGTGAAAAAAATTACAAGATTTGTTTATTTTCATTCCTGAAACTTAAATTCGATCTAATTTAATGGAAATTTGGTAGTTAGTTCATTAATATTTAATAATAAACATTTGATAATTTCTCTTAAAATGCAGATTATAATATCCACAGGCATGTACGCGTAATTTACTGATCTTTTTGAGTTTTATGTATTTTATAATAACCCAGAGTCTAATACATGTAGGTTACAAGTTGCAATGCATATTATAATGAGACACAAAATAAGTATTGTTATTAAAATAAAATATATTAAATTAATATTAACTCGATAAGGAGTTGCATAAAAAAAAATCACACGCGTGTTCATCATTATAGTGATAACGATAAATTTATAACTGTTGTTTGAAGGCAAACACAACAAAAAGTTTTTATAATAATAGTTTACCGGGAAAATCGGCAATTAACTAAAATATTTCATTTAAATTCTTTTCGTAATTTACATACAATGTTGTGCTACATGTTTTCTTAACATTACCTATAGTAATATATGCTTAATTTTAAACATCATAATATAGTTATTGGAAAAAGTGTTCATCTTAAGATAAAAACACATAATTATTTTTTAATAAACAAACTAAGAACATACACATCGATTATTATTATATTACGCAATACGCATAGAATATTAAAGTAGGTACCTCATAATTGAAATCAATTAATTACACTTTATTTTTTATCACACATTAAAAGGAAATAAATCACCTGTAATCAAACAAGATCTAGTCAGATATATAGATAAATAAAATAAAATAAAATAAAAATATATCATTTAAATTTATAAGTATTAGCACACACGTGTGTGCTTGTGTGATTATATTTATACATTATTAAAAGTTAATGAGGACGTGTCCATATAAATCATAATAATACGAATAAAAAAGTTATATAAATAATTTAATTTTATATTTATTGATAGGTAATCTTAACATGCAGGTATTTATTATAATGGTTAGCTAGTTTACGGGTCAAGAATTCTAGTAAAACGGTTTTTAAGTCACAATAAAATGATTATACTTGAACCGTTTTACTATAATGGCTCAGCAAACCGAAAAAGAAACGCGTTTCTACATTATTTTAGTACTTTGTGACATACTTTGTTTCATTTAATCAAAAGTCCCAAACAAAATTGATTTCCGAACATATAAATGTATTTCTACAGTGACCTCGTTCAATAAATGTTCGAAACGTAATTCATTAGGTAGGTACCTACACCATGACCTATAGTTGTTAGGTAAGGATTTAATATTTTTCCAACACGAATCGACAGAACGAATACTGATGTCACAATATATTGCACTATATACATATTATAATATTTATTATTTTTAAACCTAACCCAACCTATAAATTGACTGCACTCTTGTAGTTTTGGTGTGCTTGCAAATACTGCGTGTAATGTCGATTAACGAATTCCCGGAGAAGAAATTACAAAATATTTGGCTGGCGGACATGGACGACAAACAAATCGCGTCCAGGATCGAACGCAGTGATCAATTTGAGACGGCCAGTGACGTCCTAATGAAGGACGCAAGTGTGTATCCGAAGATTACCCGCCGTGGGTTCGCGGGAGAGGAATTTTTCTTGAAGGCGTCAAAGTCTGTGCCCAGGATTGGTCGTAGGAACAACGATATTCAGGAAACACCGAAAAGATCATTGAGCAAAGTGAGTACACCCCATGAGATCGAGACGATAATATTGTGGTCATCGCTGTACAGCTCTATCGTTTGTACAATTATTATATTATTAATAAATATTAATAATGATAATAAAATATGGGTAGCTCTATTGTATTGCTTTTTTATACAGGTAATATTATGAGTGAGTTTTATACAGCAGACAAATATTTCCTAACTATGGTAAAAATATTTTCAGGAAAATAATATAATTGTCAAAATATTTAACAAAGTTGCGTAAATAATTAGGAAATATTTTAATTTTATTCTTTGGCCAAGGGTTCATATTTTTGAAAATATTTTATAGAAAAACATTCAGAAATTATTTTAATAATATATTAAAAAAAAAAAAAAACATTTTTACCGAAACTTTATAAAAATATTAAGTCAACATTTTTATGCAATCATTTAGTACAATATTTTGTTATCATAAGAAGAAAGTATTTATAAAATATTATTAGTCAAATATTCATTATTCAACCACTTTAAAACATACAAAAAATATTGTTGTAAACGTAAACTGTCGAAATTGTGGTAATTTAGAACTTCTATATCATACAATGTTGTGAATTTACAAACATATTCCTTTGTAGAATATGACGCCATCGTTTTATAGTAAGTTTGAAAGCTGTATTGAAATTAATTCAGATCGTTTTAACATAAGCCGTCTTCTACCACATAAGACACGTTTGAAAAATAAAGATAAACAAATTACAATTCAATATACCTACAATAATATACATTGAAATCACTAGATTCATATTATTTAAGGTTTGATTTGTATGCTTAATACAATTACAATCTTTGTGTGAGATTTCTCTTCTCTTGCGCATCGAAAGTAGAAACGGACTAGGTAGGTATATGTTGAAAACATATACTATTATCTTGAAATCAATCGAATTGATGTTCACAGTTGGGAGGTGACAATATTGTTATTTATTTCAAAAGACGATTTTTTTTTTTGTAACATTGAATACAATCACAAAGCCGAAACTATTGACCAACATTTTTATTGTTCAGGATCAAGTGAACATGGTGGAATACTGGCCATACTTGCAGCCGAACGACATCAACGCCTTGACCAGGAAACATGACTTCGATTTGCCGTACAACTGTCAACAACTGGACGCCAAAACGATTTATTCGGTGGACATGTACAACTTTGTCTGCAACGATCAGTTCTATTGCTGTACGCCGGCAAAGCGCGCCATAGCCAACTCTCCAAACGCGAATTCCTTGTGAAAAACAATATGATACAAAAATATAATATTTTAATAATGCTTATAAAATAATATGTAGGGGTAGTCAGTCTTAGATTTAGGGGGAAAGTGTTTTTTTTTTTATAATTCTTATTATTTTTATTATTCATCAGACTTATTTTGGGTGGTTTTATTTACGGCTAAGGGAAAATCAATCAACTACCAGTATATTATATTGAACGCGTGAAACACTTGATCGTTATTATTGTGTTAGAACGCTATAAATGTATTAAATATAATGTATGTCGAATGATAAATGTCTTTTACTCAGTAAAAATTGATATATAATTACTTATATTTTTTATTTGTTCTTTAAATCAAATTACCACATTTTCTATTGATGAAACCTGCACTTGTTTTTCCCTAAAGAATCACGTTTATTGAATGCAATATGGATGGTATTGTGTCGATGACCAACACTTGAACGACGTAGTGAGTTTTCCAAGATAGGGTAACATTTTACAGAGAGAGTAACATCATCAAGACCATAATTGGAAATAAACTGCAAGGGCCCGATTTAAAAATAAATATTTTAACGAAAGTATAGAATTATTCTTGTTACAACTGTCAATACCTATATTTACTGCTAAAATTGATAAACCTACCTACTTTTAAAAAAGCTTTAGCCGTTTTAGAGATCGGGCTCCTGTATCCCACCCCTCCACAGTTATGGCCTTGAACAGCAGTATAATTATAATAATATAATTAATAATTGCATTGATTGTCGGGTGAAATGTTTGTGCAGAGAACGCAGCACTATAAATATACGTTCCTCGTATATAATATTAAAGTGTAATAATATTAATATACCGTTTTAAGCCGTTTACCGCAGTTATAAAGAATATTATTATAAGACTTTGAATGTCGATAACACCAATAAACGAGTGTGGAAAAAAAATATTGTGAAATACGTTGGCGTTAATGGCCCACCGTGATTAAATAACGTGCATCTCGGCTATTTGCAGCAAACGTTTAATATTTGAGGTGCAACACTGCAACATCTAATGCATTATTCAATATCAAGACCATAAATCGTGATAATAGTTTTATTTTGTTCGATTTTGGCACTTTGAACTTCAGTTTTCTACAGAATAAAAATCGATCGTACGAATTAATCGATGACGCTCAATGTCCAAAAATCAACGAAGAATAACAAACGTATTATTCTTTATTACATTTATATAATATAATATCAATAATTATAAGGGCCTCGATGGTTTTTCGTCACACTTTGGTAATAAAACTGCAATACCGATTTAACAGATGTAGTATAGATAATATGTAAATCGTATATAGGTATTTAGTTGTACATTGTACGGATTTCATCGTCGTTCGTTCATGTCAAACGAACGTCTAATTTTTGTCAAATTGCACTCAGGTTATAGAAAAGGCAATTTTCGAATTGAATTCGTTACGATCATTACCTACTTAAAACCTGTTTATTAACGAATATAAGTCGATGGATAGAAGAATCAACAATAATTTGTATTTTATTGCTAGTGTAGGTAGGTGTATCTAATTTATGGTTTTTACTGTAATAATTACACATAGATATGGCTACAATTTAAGTATACCTAATAATAATAAAATATGTTTATTCTTTAAATAGGTATTAATAAACAACATTATACAAATAAAATGAGTTATTCTGTAGTAATCTAATTGCTACATTATATATTTACAATTTCAAAATAATAATATACCTACAAATAATTTACTTTTATTTCTAAATATTATTTATCTACTTCGTATAATAACGACATCGTCATACTAAATCAATCGATACACACACATGCCCTATTTTCAACTAAAATTAATATTAATTGTAAGTTTTATGGAACTATCAAACCGAGTTTAAATCGAACAATCTCTGTTTTTAACTCGAGTGCAATTCGAACGTTTTGTTTAACCGTTCAGGTATAAGGACTGTTAATGAATGAAGACGTTAGATATGTTACAATTAGGGAGTTGTTGCATTTTTCGAAGACTATTAGACTGTTAGAATTATTGCTAAGTAAGCTAGAAATTAGTTTCAAGACACTACGAAAAAAAAAAAAAATTTATAGTACATATTTTAGGATGTTTTGTGATTTTTTAGTTGTATGTGTATATTTCTTAATCTTACAATTGTATAGAGCATATTTAATGATAACTGATAAAACAATTATTTAAAACTTGTTGTATAGGAAGTAAGAAAATTATTTTGTACAACAACTAATGATTAGATTTATAATATACAAAGTTATTCACCAAGCATGATTGGTTTCATTTTTCCTTTTAATAATAAATGTATTCAAATTCTGATTTTTGGAATTTTTTAATAATATATAGACATTAAAGACCACATTTTCAAATTGTTGAGATATTTTTATTACTTAAAGAGTGTCTCATAGTGGTATTAAACTTTCATTTTTTAAATGCGAACCCAGTTTTTAATGTAAATTAATTAGTGGATAATGTTTTTGAAAATGTCAATGTCTGTAGGAACCTAGTTCAAAATTTGAACGAGTATGGTTTCTCGGTTATTAAAATGTTTATAATAAAGACAATAGTTCTAAAAAACGATTTTACAAAAAATATAAATTAGATGGAATATTTTATCTAGTATTTCCTTGGACTATTTTTACAAGTTTTAATATTGTTATTGATAAATTATTATTAATTACTACAATTTTCAAATCACCATAGCTCATAATACATTTTCCAAACCCTTTACCATGAACCTATTATCCATAGTACACGACATTAAATAACTTAAAAACAACTCGTTGGAATTTTGTTCTTGATACGTCACCATTTTTCGAAAAATTATCCACTAAGTAATTTACAGTAGAAAAAAAGGTTTCTCATTTGAAAAAAGTTGTATTTATATCTATAGGACATTTTCTTAAGTAGGTATGTAGTAGTGCGTAGTACAAAAAGCTTCATGGCATAGTATTTAAGTGTATTTAAAAATTCCAAAATCAGATTTTGAACAACTGCGTTATTGAAGGAAAAAAGGGGGTGAGCATGATTGGCGAATCACCTAGTATAAAATAATTATAATATTATATAGGTACATACAAAGTTAACAGATAAATATAGTCTATGAATATACATTTTTGTCAATTGTAGAATAGCGCGTTTCATGTTTGGTTTCAATTAGTAAAATTTATACTCGGATTTTTGTCAAAGGTCAGTGATTAGGTGTGCTGTTTTTTATACGGTATAGAGCCATAGTGAAAATTAAAATATTGTTATCGGAGCGCGTCCGCGATACGATGTTAACGGCGTATATAGTTAAGGGACGAAAATTTAACGATATTCGCGACACACTCCCTTTCCACCCCCGTGTTGAGGGTGGAAAGAGAGAGAGGTTCTAGCACATACACCCTTATTATTATTATTATTATCATTATTATGGTATTAAACGCTATTATAGCTGTATATACTAAATGGAAACACGTCACGGTTCACGGATGACATAGTGGGTTAATTATAAATACTTGATTTATAAAGCGGAGGTTCGGTTCGTAACTTATTCAGTTATAATATTATAATAATTATCCGCGTGAGAGAGAGAGAGAGAGAGACAGACAGACAGACAGACAGAGAGTGTGTGCGCTTTCCTACCCGGCGAAAAAAACGGAGCCGGTGCGGGACGAACTCGCGATGGAAAACGGATCAAATGAACGTTTATTCGGAGAAATAATAAAAGGCGTCTTAAAAAAAAAACTTTGAAACTTTTGTGAGTTATAATAATAATATAATAAACATATTATATTATAGTAGTGTGTAGTTATACACAGCAAAATTTAAAAAATAAAAATTTATCACACTGTGAGTCGAGAATCGAAAGTACATATTATTATAGTATTAAATAGGTACGACACTATTGTTATCGAACTTGTATGGAGTTTTGGACAAAAAGTTTCTGGCAGAATACCTACAACAATTTTAGACGCTGCAGTCGGTATAATTTTGAGTACGTTCAAAATAGTGACAATAGAAGGTATAATATAATATACAATATTATGCACATATAGCGTAAGTTCGATGTGCGTCCAAAAATACTTTTAGCTGCATATAGAGATTTTCGGCAAAAAAAAAATATTCAATCCGAGTACCAAGAATTTGATTCTGAAATTTTTTTTTTCAATAATTTTACCAAAGGTTCGTTTCTCCTTTCCGAATAATAACTATATATAAATCGTGTAATCGATCGCACAAGCAAAATCGGCAAAAAAGTTTACTCAAAATTACAATTCGACATTGTATCTATATATCTATAAAAGATGTACCTACCTACGTATATGGATGCATGACACGTCATATCTAATAATAAAATAATTATACTCAGCGTTGGAATGATTGTTTTTTTTTATTCACAGTAGGTATGTTGTTTACTATAATATAACATCATTTTATGGTAATTTAATATCCTGGCGGAACACAGTAGCTAGGTGCCTTCGCAGGAAAAATTGCTCGTTTTCGTGTCCATTTTGCAATAAGTATAATTTTCTCACACTTCAACGATGAGCTCCTGGCGCAAAAAAGTCGTTTACGTGCGTGTGAATTTTTTCCACAATAATAATTGTCAACAAATATTGCACTCATATTTATATTATTATAAATAATACTTACGTATATCAATACTTACGTATATATATATATATATATATATATATAAAGGTATATACCTACATATAATGTGTTAATTTACTCACGCGGTTATACACCTCAAGTGTGATTGGAATAGAATATTATAATACGGCTGTTTTGAAATACATAATGCAAGTACAGTCAATCTTTTTGTATTGTGTTGAATATGTCACGAAGGCAAAAATAAGTATAATAATAATAATATGTGTATTTAAAATAAACATAATATAAGAAATGATGAGAATTTTATATTAATACTAACATTGTGCTGTAGTCGATAAACATCGCATCACAACTTACTATCTTGAGTATACGTTTATTATTTGCACGTTGTGTGTCACA